GTTTGTGGCATTCAGCGCAAGCGGATCACCACTGGGGACAAAAGTGCTCCAGGGACGAGTGATACAATACCACTGCACACTAATCGGTCTGCATTTGAAAAGACGCCAGCAGCGCACTGGGCCAGATTCAGAAACAAAACAAAATTATGTAACACCACACAATCTGGGCTCTCTTCACAAGGCAACAGGCCTGGCTGAAATACTTGGGCGTCAATAGATGTTGTCGCACCAGAGTAGCCACCAGACAGTCATTTGTGTGGGTGTAAACGTCCAGTAAATGAACTGGTGAATTTTTGAAGAATTTTGAAAACGGAATATCTTGAAAATCCCCTGGAAATATGTCGTGCAACTCAAATTAAACCCGGCAGCATATGGTTAATTACACACCAAAATAAACATGCTTCTTTTACCAAATTAAAAATATGGAGAAGTGTTGAGCAATTCAGTTCTTCAACTTGAAGTGTAGTGTAGCTCATATTTTGCCACGAAGATATTTAAATTGTTGCCTTAATAATCTTATTACTCTCTGCAAAATAGCTGAGGGCACTTTTTTCATAACCCCAAGCAGAATTTGCACTCTTTTGCCAGTAGAGGGCTTGGACGTGAAAAGAGCAATGATACTCGGGTGGAACCGCACCTGTTTGATAATGGATTTCATTCATGCATCATGATCAGCAGAACCTGTGCCGTTAGACATACTGGAGGTAAACATGTCATATTCTTAATAATGTCTTCCATTTGAGAATAAGCTGCCAGTCTCAACTTGATAGAAGCTACTTCGGTGATAGTTTACTTTTCCATAATCTGTCTACGGTAATCCAATTAATTGCCTTCTGTGCAAGTCCTACAAAGTCCTGTAACAAAGGATGGAGGTAGGGCAGCAAGTATTATTCTGTGCACTCGATTAACCAATTCATGTGTCCTTTGGTTCCATTTTTTAGTTCCACTTTGTGAAAATAAGGTTTCCTTCAGAAGATACAAGACAACTTTGAAAATAGTGTCATCCAAAAATCTTGAGCATTTCGCACACAAAACTTTTTCAGAAAGGTACCTGTGAATGACATGCATCGATATGCAGCTAATCAAAACTGCATTCCAAAACAATGATTAATTAATAAATAAACTATATAAAAATCGCAAGCCTGCATGCCTAGTTGCTTGACCCTGCAGATCCCCAGCTACCAAAAAGTCTGCCGACCAACAAAACCTTTGTGGAAGTTTGAAAACTCTGAAATGAAATCTGCCCCAGCAGAAGCAACCCCTTCCCGTCGGTTGAAAAGAGCCACATTGGTGGCAGTGTTCTTTTTGCTAGTTTTGAAACAATCATAACACTTTCGTTTTGTGAACCAACAGAATGCAATTTCCACCAAAGGAGACTCCATTGCTTGGAAAATTGCACCCACTCTTTGTCCGACTCGGGCCTCATTTGGCAAAGTGAGAAGTGAAGAGACTAAATGGCTGTATTCTTTCCTGCATTTTCCTGCCACTCTGTGGCTGAAGCACAACCTGGTCCTGTTTTAAGCATTTCTTACTGTTGTGGAGTTTTTTGTTGACATAGCAGTTAATCAGGACTAAACAGGACAAGTTTAAGAAAGTTCCCCAAGTGTTTGAAGGATGTAATACGCCAAAGTCTTCGGGCACATTTTCCGGCCAAGTCAGGTTATTCACTAAAATTGTATTCACTTTGTAGTTGCTGCAGTCCACTCTCTTGTTTATTTTGTTTGGAAGTAAATTCATATGCAGTGACTTGTACAAGTCCAAGTCCAGTGCACATGATATCTGTTGGTCAATTCACTACAAAGCCAGCTCATATGTAGGTGGGGAAACCAGCTTCCTTGTCCGTTGCATGGAAACCAGCTTTAAACCATACCTGTGGTGAAATTTGACCACCATGGCAAGTGACTTTCTACAGTAATCACATGTGGTGCCCACATTTGATGTACATGTACTGACATCCAGCGCTAGATCCAGGCCTTTGGACCTGCCTGGAGGTAATTGGAAAATGCAGGGAAGAGTGTCGGCTTTCATCAGAGCTGGCCACAAGACTGTGCAGCTGTACAGTCTTTCTCACCTGATATCAAATGCCTCCTCAATACATGCATGTCCCTTTGTGTGCACCGGGGAGAGTCTACAAGAACTTGATTTCTGTGTCGCAACCACCGGGCCTGCTCACAGCTTGACATACGTGTAACTCAGTGCAGAAAAAGTAGATCACTCTGTCAAAACCCATACCACACCATACCCAGTCAGAAATCCTTCTTGTAGGCCCCATTACAAGGATATTGCAAAGAGTTAGAATTGTAGCAAAGATTAAGTTTCTTTATCTTTCAGGTCACATTTCTAATTGCTTTGGCAGCAGCAGCAACAGCAAAAACTCGCAGGGCTTTGATGTGTTTGATAGAGGCAAGTTTGTCCTTGGCTGTACTCAGATCATTTTCCTCATTTCTCATTCCATTTTAGATTCATAATCAAGGACTTTTTCACTGAAACAGCCCGTCTTGTTTCAAATGAGTATCACTTTTACAAGTCAGAAAATGAAACTGCAAAAAGACGGAGGTTATTAATAACAGCTACACTTTCACTGCCAACTAAGGCATTGTCTTAAAAAAAGGTACAATTTCTTCCACTTTAACAGGGTATTTATTGTTTTAAGAAAGGTTTATTAACAAAGACATGATATATTTTAAAAGAGTTTTTTTTATTACCGTGCCGAATTCCAACCCACCATGTGTATGCTTTTCAAGTAGTTGACCATTTTATTTAGACTACATGCCGTCAGTGTTTAATGTTTGCATCAGAAAGTCAATAATAATGAACTAATTTTAGCGGGAATAACAAATGCTGGAAGTTGTTAATGTCTTGAACACTCTCAAAGCTGCACATTTTTCTACCCCTCCACCACCACCAACACTAAAAGAGAGAGAAAGAGTGTTTTTGGATTGAGTTTTTCCCTAAAACAGTTGAGGAGAAATTGTGTTTAATGGGGGAGGGTCAGTTAAATGCAACAGGCCTGGAATTCGGGGGAGGTCTATGTTTTTGGCATCCATTGAAGTGTTCACAATTGTTTGTACTTAACTTTCCATTTCTAACACAAAATACCGGCGTCCATGTGTAAAAGAAAATTGAAACTTGTACATACTATGTAGTACAGGACAAACTCTGTATTGGGCCTGGATTCAGTTTTTGCAGAAATTGTGATCTGATTTCATTACAAATTTAAGGACTAACTAACTTTTGATGCATCCCTACATCAGAAAGAGTTGATATAAACATGTACATAGGATAATACGACAACTAGGTAGCAAAGCAGCTGTGGAGTTATATTGGACGACGTTTTTGTTTGTCTGTTATTGTTGCCAAGTTTTTTTTATATTTTCACAAGACGATATCAGTAGTTAGCAAGAGGTCGATCTTGAAATTAAAAAATAAAAAAAAATTTAATGATGACTGCCCCCGCTACATGGGATATTAAAATCATACAATTGCCAATATTGGGGCAAATTTATATGATGCTGTGTAAATAACTTGCATTTTTATGTAAATATCAAAACAAATGAAGCCCAAATACTATTTTAAGTTATCTTTTTGGTAATTCACCTGTTGCATGTGCTTTTATATGAAAGACTGTGGAGAGACATGGAACAAATTCCTAGAATTGCACCTATTTTTAGCTTATACCTGAACTACCAAATTATAACCATTGTTTGGGTTTTCACATTTTAAAGAATGAAATAAGTAATAGTAAAATGCACTAACGTCTAATTGAATTATGCAATGTTGTATCATTCTGCAGTAACTATTCATTAACGTACATGTAGTGATTTATTACTTGTTGATTATATTGGTTTCACGGCCTTGCCAGATCTTGCCTGATAATTTTACTGTTGGTTTTGATGCACTACGAATAAATAAAAACAATAATTTATTGATTAAAACTGGAGTTACGAAAACTGTAAATACCTACGCAACTAAATTAATACATCGAACGGAAGTATAAATACATTCTTACAACAGGAAATCAGGGATGACTCTGCAGAGTACCTTGACATGACCAGCCATTTCTTCTCTGACGCACTGTCTCACCCATTTCGGGATATCCTATTGTGTCATAATGTGAAAACTAGTTTTTATGGGATTTTTCCAATAAAAGACTAACTGTGAAACGTTGCTGCCTTTACCTGTCTTTTTGTTGCTGTTTTGTAATCGAAAACAATGAAGTTATATTTTTTCCAACGAGTAATGGTTCCCTGTCCCTTTTCTAACTTACTGTTTCCGCGGGTTTAGGTCGTCGTCGGCCCTTCCCGCTTGAAAGTGACAATACAAAGACATTGAATGATAAGCAACTTCAATTAAAGGGCCTAATAATACAGTAGAATTCCACAGTACTCCCAAAACTTATCAACCGACATTTAGAAGGGGACAAGTGACTAACAACTTTCCCAAAGCTTTATAAGGTCTGCTCATTTGACGTCATAGTCGTGTTTTTCCTACAAATGGCTGCTAAAACTATGGTTCGCCGTCGGGACGAAAGCAAAAGACATTTTCACAAAGTGTTCAAAATCCCACGATAATTCACAACACCAGATAATAAAATACTAAATGCTAAATGAAATACACCTGTAACGATATTTAATATCAATGAAACAAATGTCCATTACGAACAAATTGGAGGTAAAATCGAAAACATACCAAACTTTGGATGCCCAAGCAAGTTGTAGGCAAAATGATATTGATCTATGGTAGTTTTACCATCTCCAAGAGCTATAGTGTAATTGTACTGACGGTTTTGATCACATCAACGCCTTATTTGCTGTAATTATTTTTTCTTTTACATGGTAATCCGATTCCCCCTGGTTAGCTTGTTCTGTGAAATTGTTTTTATCATTACACCCGCTTTGATTTTAGTGTCAAGTGTTGTTTGTCATTTTTTTGAGCAACCACATTGCATTTTGTACATTATTTCCTGGATATGCTTTGTCAGGAATAATTGGATTTGTTTAGTCGCCATGAGAAGTAAGTAAAGAGGGAAGTACTTAAAAAGAATGTACATGGAACAATTTCAAATATCCTCGGTAATATTGTTTTCTTCTAGTTTCATTTCAGCGAGGAAACAATTACATGTAGCACTTTCCTTCTATGAATCAAATGTCACATACTGAAATGGCATGAAATGACTGTCACGCTGTCACTCCCTGCCCCATTTCCTCGTTTCTGATGCATGTACCTTATTATCATTGGCAATTCTGAACAAAGCAAAAAGAGGAAAAGAGAGTTTTTAAAGGTTAAACGTGCAAATAAAGAAAATGGTATACATGTACTTCCTTTGTGTTACCTTTTGTATATGAAAACGACGTCAATTTCATAAATTATGAATAATAATGACGTCGATAACGGCATGTCCCATTTTTCATTCATAATAATGAAATTGTCCAGTTGCAATTTTGCATCTTTTTCTTTTAAAGTCATCCCACACAAACATCAGGTAAACTTCCGTTTCGCCAAAAACAACGGGATTTTTGGACAAGTTTGCCCTTTTCATCTTTCTCACGGTGCCTTTAGTTTGTTTTTTGAACAATCCAAAACCATGACACTGAGCCCGTCCACCAGACCTCGACCAGATCCAGGTGACCGTGTCGTTGTAGCGTTTCCTTCCGTTGAATCCCTAGAATTGGAGGACAGATTATGTAGCTGATCTGAGGTGTCGGACAAGAATGGGTTTAAGTTTCTATTGGAACTGAATGAATTTCCTAAATATGAAAAAAAGGTTACCTGGAGGAGGCGGGGCAACTCCCCCTCCATACATCGAAACAGTTTTTTAAAGGAATTGCAAGAACCAGCGATCCAGATAAGGCACTGTTATCGTTCTTAAGGGGTAAGGATTCTGTAATGGATGAGAAAAATTGGACAATCGTTTTTGTAAAAAAAAAAATCATTCTCCCCCACGACTCGAGGTCTTGATGTGCCGCTGTAACTGATTAGGACCTGGTCTTCATAACACTTTAGCAATTTTAGCAGATGCAGGACGTTTTCGATAAAATTCTGGAAAATTTTGTCCTAAGAGAGAAAAATGACAATTACATCTCAGTCCGTTATCCCTCCCCTCTAGAACTGCCCCTCTCCACCGTGTGGAACGGCAACCGACCTTCTCCTACGATTAATCCACAGTGCAAATGACTGGCCCGATTCAGGCATATCAGAATTCTTTTATTATGTTTCAAGAGTTGTGTCAGCCATGGGCGTAAATCCACGGGGTGGATGGGGGTAAATATTCCCCCCACTTTTTGACCAAGGAGATTGACTATTGAATCACCCACCCACATTTTCTTGGGGAGAAAAATTAAAACGGATTAAGAATTTGTCAGACTTCCCATCAATTAACCAAAATGTATTCGATATCACTCAAACAGGGAGAACAATCAAACAATCCATAAATATACCGTTCTCACGTAAGACTGTGCATTATAGTAATACATATTAAAGATACATCTGCATCATAAACATTATCTCCTATATAGTGTCACATGGGGTCAGCCCCCCCCCCCACGGTCGGGCAAGTCACCCCCTCCGCAATTCCCCATTCCTCATCTTCCTCAATTTCCGGCACAAATTTGCAACACTTCCGCGATCTATCTACAGTAGAACCTTCCACAGGCTCTTTGAGTGACATCTGAAGTTATTGTCTGGTAAATTTTGCAGATTTCAAAATGAGCGTGAAACTGCTGAAAAAGGGACTTGGTAATTTATTCGCTAATGACATCAAAGATTCAGTTTCTCAGTTATATCTATCATTATTTTGGACTTGGACTGCATGGTATCAAATTCGCTATAATCTTTTATGAGACATTTAACTTAAAACACGAAGGTGCTGATTTAGAATTTTACTTTTTTTGAAACGGTGATATGAGTTTAGAAGGACGTCTTTCAAATTTCTTGGGTCCTTTCTACCAAGATGATTTGGGACAATTTTTAAAATCGTTACTTTATAAGGAAAACGATCATTAAAAATACGGCCATAAAAGAATAGGCCTACATCCACGTACAGTGATTGACCTCCATGCAGCTTCTGTACGATAACAAGGAGGTAATGGCATATTTTGTTACACGGAGTGTAGGTAGAGATAATGGCATTCAGCAATTACGGATATGCTCATTTACTTTTAGTGTCAAGGACAAAAAAGCTTTATGCCTTGCCTGACGTGTTTAGGTGGTTTGCGCTTCTTGCAGCGCCGGGGTTTGATGTTTTGATAGACTAGAATATCGCAACTTAGACACCTGGCCAGCCTTATCGAGTACGACCGCATTTAAGTGCTTTCTCACTGAATTACCGCAAAAAATTCAACACTACGCTACGGTGGGCGGGTAAAGTTAGTCTACTATTGATTCATGATGCTATGCCCGCCCCAGGGAAAACATGTTTAGCAAAACACCCACTTAGTGATTTACGTATTAATTTTAATACTCTTGTTTAAAATTGAATCATCTCAACTTAGTTTCACTCTAGTTTTTCTGGTAATTTAGCCCACTCGAAATCTAAAATAATGCTGAACTTCCGTGCAAACAGTCACCACTTATCAGTAGTCAGACGAAAACAAACTTTTCACATAGGCCCTCGATAAACTGGAGATATGACTCCACCACGATGACCCGACTTTGCCGAATATGGCATCATGTTTTGCTACAATGAATTTTATGACGTCGTAATCGTTTTTACGTCAGTGGTTCAGCGCCCAGGGTTTAATCCCTGCTATTCTTGGCCAATGATGTATACGGTACAGCCCACCAAGTGAAGTCATGTCACCAAACGATAAAAGGCAGGGTTCATGCCAGTACACAAACCGTTTCGGTAATCGGTAACTGAAAATCGATACTGGAAATAACTTGCGTTTTAAAAGTCCTCCATGCAGTGGGTATACATAATGTAATTTTTCGAAAACCATAAATAGTGGAAAATTCCTAAACGGGTAGGGGGTTCAGCTGCTATGGAGTTCGTTTTTACCATGGTTTAGCTCAATAAAAAACATGTTCATGTCTTGTATTGTCCTGTGTTATAAAATGTACGTGTATGTCTGTCAATAGCTTAGGGTACAAAAGCAAATCTATGCTTCACCCCTTACCTAAATGTTGTTCTTTAACGTGTTAATGTGTTGTGTGTTAATAAAGGTTGCAATGGTAAAACTCAAAAATAATAATAATAATATGAAACCAATAAATTTGAAATCAAGATTGTTTGGCCGGTTAATACAAACCATAAATCCTTTAGAATCGACAACAAATGTTTCATGGGAAAATTCCCCTATTTTTGTTGACCCCAGAAAAAAAGTTGGTCCTCCGTAGATTTGGTTCCCGATTTGCCCTTGCAATCTTTGAACGGGAGCTTTCTCACTACCAAACGTTGGCCTACGCATGTCTTCTCGCTTTTTGAAAGTCGATTCTTTTTAGAAACCGCAATTAAAAAATATGATCATAATCGATTCCTGTGATGACCTGATTATGCGATATCGATATCGCGAGTGGGAAAAATATTGTAGTGCACTCCTAGTGATGCGGTGGGAGGGATATGCGGTTGAGGTTGGCAACGCTGCATGTGCTGTATTTTCCTCTTGGCAAAGCAAGTCACAAAAACATAGCAGATACGAAGACGAGTATTAACCGGTGAGTATTGAAAATGATGATTTGAAATAAGTGGACAGATGCATTTTTTCGACTTAACGTGAAGTGGGCCCGGGCCTAGTTGACAGTGTCACTGTGAGTGTAACGTTAGACATGTTAGACGATTCTAACACACCGCCACCCACTACATGTACAGTACATGTACTGTACACAGAGGCCTGTACGTCTGGTTCCCCCTCTTGCCCAGTTTCCGGACGCATTTCTTCTTAGTTTGGTAGTGGTACTGATAAAATTAAATGGTAGGCCTAGGTCTAGCCTACTGGCAATTAAATTTAACGACAAGAAATCCATACATAGACATAATTGATTTTTATAATTAGGCCTAGGCCCAAGACCTACGTGACCTAGGGCCTACAGTCATGCCATAGGCCCTACAAACAATAAATAAAAACCCTCACTGATAAAAAAAGTTAGGCCTAACGTTACTTTACTTAGCCTAGCTAGGAGTTGAGCATGTTTAGGCCCTAATTTTAGAATTGTTCAGACCCATCTCATTTGGGCATGGCTTGTCAATTGATGTCCTGGTTTGGAACTCTGTCCAGTTCTGGACCAATGAGAGATTCACTTATTGAAAACGGAATTTTTCATCACGTGTGCCCCTCATCGTGTGCATTTCTTACAGCATGGTCACTGTTATTGTTTTGAGTTCCATATATGGACATCATCATAACACCCTAAGCCCTATGAGACTTGTCTAAAAATGCTAATTTTTTTCTAAACAAATGCTTTGATATTTTCCCTTTTAAATTTTGATTCTTAGGACTTATTATCATTTTCTTACGGATGATATACCACTGCAGGGAAAATTATCAATGTCCAAATATGGAACTCTTCTCGTTTTCACTTCATAATTTCCCTGTAAAATCCAAACCTTAACCTCTTTATGCAAATCTAATCCTACTAGTAGTTAACTTTGGATCAACATCACCATGGTCGCCCATGTCATGTATGTGGGTGTGTCCCAAAAGTTACAAGAGGGATGTTCTTTTTCTTACATGTGCAGGGATGGTACCCACAAACAAACACTCAAATATTGAGCCTCTTCTCCAACAGATTTCTGGCTGGCCTAGTCTTCTGCAGTAGGTTCCTCATTGAACAAGTGCCAAAGATGGCACTCACAACGAGTGCATCACGTCTTCCTCTTCACGTGAAGGCCCGTGGAGAGAGGTACCCAAATTCAGACGTCAAACGCTTCCCAGTACCGGATGATAAGGTCCAGTGGTCTGTTCCATGGCCAGAATATAAACCAGTTGAGTTCACAAATCCAAAAGTGTTGGCAGGCCCAGTTTGGGCAGATCCAGAAATAAGGTAAAGGGAAAAAAAGTAATAATAATTTTCAGATTTCCTAAAGTTTACAAGTCTTACAGCCTCATATTTATTCACATTCAATTTCATGTTTTCTTCCTCATGCAAAATGCTGACGAGTCTAGTCACATCCGTAGAAAGAGTTCAGAACTCAGCCTGCACAACTTTAGCATTTTGTAATTTCGTAAACACCTTTAAATTTGAAAAAAAAAACACTCAGAGATTGTTCACTTTGGTACACCTGCTGTTTCGCTTTGGGACTGAACACCCTTTCTTCAATAAAATCCCCCAAAATGAAAGACACCCCTTTTTCAACATATTGATGTCGATGAAACGTGATTTTCTCGGAAGCGGGATGTGGAATTCTTTCTAATGTAGATTTGCAGTGTTTCCTGGTAAGTTGTAAATCATCAAGTTTGTTTTCCTTTCAAAAAACTAGCTGTTGACAGTTTATCAGCTGAAGCTGAGCCCAGTCAGCAGTGAAAAGTAAACACATTTCCCTTTGCACGTCAGAACGGCCACAGTGAGTTCCAGGAAGTGCTGTAAAATGTCAGTTGCAGACTTTCACTGTGCTCTTTGCGTTTGATAACTGAGCCGGCAGGCTTGCACATACATGTAAATTACCCTGCAGAAATGTCATTAACCACTTCCTGCCGGGGAACCCCGTTTCGAGCACCATGGGTTTATACGCAGAGCCGGGGTGCACGTAATGGAAGGAAAGAGCTGATCCGTGTAACAAAAGAGCGTATTCTGAATAAAAGACCTGCTGTGGGGAATTGCCATCATTTTTCAGCTTGCATTTTTCGAAAGTAATCTGTCACTGTTTTTAAACAGTATACCACTGTTTTAGGCATAGTGCGCCCGCGGATTAGCGCTGCAGATAAAAGTGCTCTAGGGCCCCATTGATGAGCGACACAACACCGCTGCATGCTAATCCAGCCGCATTTGAACAGATGCCACTCGCATTCACTGGGGACAGAGGAAATTACGCAACACCTCACAATTCTGGGATGTCTTTACAGGGTGGGAGGCCTGGCTGAAATACTCAGGAGTCAATGAAGGTTGCCTGTCAGCTTAGAATGGACACCAAACAGTCATTCATATGGGTGTAAATGTCCATTAAATGAAATGATGTATTTTTGAAGAATTTTGAAAACTGAAAATCTGGAAAATCTCCCATATGTGTGCACTGTATATTTTAAAGCACCCGGCAGCAAGTGGTCAATGCGGTTGCACCACACTCACAAGCATTGCAAAAACTTCTAAAACGTGAGGGACACGTGTTCTTTGGGCCAATATTTTTTGCAAATTTATGTTAAGGTCAGCAGTTCACTTTGTACTTGATTACAAAATAAAAAGGCCGCTGGCAATCACTGATGCAATTTTGCCCCAGAGTCTGGTTTTGCCCAGTTATCCTGCGTATGAGTGGCATTGGTTGAACCATAGAATAGACTGGCAGTAGACCGTATTTGCGTCGTCCCCAATTTCAGTCGTATTCCTAAACGTGCAGTATAAACCTGAAACCCTCAATGGGATGGTACCAGGTGATTTTCGGGGTTGGGATGAAATCATAGACTATAGTCTGGTTCTTTGAGTTTAACGTTTTCAAATTAATACACTACATGTACGTAGGGGAATAAGACTGAAATTAGGTCCCTATGAATAGGGCCTGTTGAATCTCTTGTGCACGTTTGTGCACAACAAGGGACTAAGCATGACCTGAATAGGGTCCTATCTCACAAGGCCAAAGAACAACAAACAAAGGGCCCTCTTTTGGTCACTCATAAGCCCGTGGGGCATGGATGTGCACGAGTGACTGCATAATGCTAGTCCATGTGAGTGCTAAGTCAGCCGTACCAAGGCAGCCCAGAAGCCGGGTCCAAGAACGGGTTGCCCAGTCCGTTATTACCTATGGAAATTTTGTTCTTGGTTGTTTCACAAAGGGGGCCCAATTCGGTAAAGCTGAAGTTCAATCGAGTGGACGGTAAGATCAACAGACGCAGCCACATGAAGCCGGATTATGAAACACCCGAGGGCGTGCCTAGGTGAGTGAGGAAAATATAAGCGTCATCCTCGGACGGTTAATCCTGAGATTAACCCTAATAGGACTTCCTAATCCTGCATTTCCAATATTGGTTTTCACACAGCCATTCCGAGAATTTGATTTGATGAAGTTGATCGTTGAAATTTGGCAGGTTAAAGGAAGAGTGAAAACATTTAAATATTTGAAAGTACCATTTTTTGCTTGTTTGTTGTCCTGAGTCCAAAGGTGAAAAAAAAATCAACATGCCTACTTTTAACAGGAGGCCAGCAGTAGCGGTAATCAGTTATACTTGTATGTATCGGTAGCATTCTGGTGTTAACTCCTTTTTTTCATTTCACCCAAGATACTGTTTGAAAAGAGAGGAAATGAAAATTTAAAAAAAAAATGCATTAACAAAATTGAAATTTTTTTTTATTTTTTCCAAATATTAAAAATCCTACATCGGGAAAACAATTGGAACTTTTCTTTTTGGTTAAATTTAATCATTCAGGGTCAGTGCATTTGTAATCAATCAAATTAAAAAATTGTTGGATTACGGCCTTAACCTGTTTTTTTCTTTCATTGAAAGCAGAATAATTCTGTTCTGCTGTTCATAGCAGAAATTCATCAGTTAAACCAGAGGGGCAGGCAGGAAGAACATTGCAGTTGGAGAAACTAAATATGATTGGAGATCATTTGACACAGTCAAATACATTTCTGGATCCACAGGAATCCTTGCGGGAGAACGGGCATAACGGGGAGAGGGGAGCTTGGGAAATGGGGACCAAATCATGCTGCAGATCCCTTAGTAACGAGGTAGGAAATAATTCGATGACAGATTTGTATGATTTACTGAATTCTTCATCTAATATGTTATAAGACTACGGAGAATTTCCTGCAGAAGAATGCAAGGAAATGTTGAGAAAAATTCCGGTCAAAATGTTATAAAATTAGCAAGAAGTCCTCTAGTATCTTGGAATTAAATGTAGGAATTGAGGATGTATCTTGAGAGCAGTTTCCATAGAAGTGTTGTTCGTCCTGGGTTTTTTTTTCACAGCACATTAGGAGGGTGTCCAAACTGTTGTATATGATATGCATTGTGTACCATCTTTGTAACTAAAACCATGATTACACAGTGAAGCAGTTGGAACCATTGTAACTGGATTTCTGGAAGCATTGTGCAGCATATTGAGCCAATGAGGATCAATAATTGGTTTGGGATGCGCTGAATCACACAGTCATTTGCTCACCAAATAGTTCAAGGGATCAGTCCATTTGTATTACTATAAACATCGCTGAAAACACCATCTTTGTTTTTTGTTCTTCAGATGGAAGCGTGATGAGTCAGGCACAGAAGTTGTCGACCCAGTCACAAAGAAGAAGATTCTACAGTTCATCGCTATATGCAGGAAGGACTCGGGAGCCTGGGCTATACCAGGGGTAGGTCCCAAGAAACACTCCTTGCCCAACTCTTCCTGAAAATTAATCCTGGTTCAAGATTCTCATTTCAAATTTGTTCCTGGCACTTTTCACAAGAAAACAGGCGCTTCAGATTTCCCCAAATGAGTTTGTATAAACAGTACACCTTTTGCTGCAAAGTCTTCTGTGAGCAATATCCATTAACCACTGGCTGCCGGGTGGATTTTTCTTGAGCGAGACAAGATGACGGGTCCGTTTCAAGATTTTCCGTTTTCAAAATTCTTCAAAAATTCATCATTTCATTTAATGGCCATTTATACCTACATGAAGGACTCTTTCGGCACTACTCTAAGGCTGACAGTTAACCTTCGTTGACTTTTGAATATTTCAGCCTTGGAAAAAGAGCCCACATAGTGTTACGTAAGATTCTTTTGTTCCGGAAACCGGCACAGTGCACTGCTGACCTCTTTTCACAAGGGGCCAGATTAGTGTGCAGCGGTGCTGTGTGGCTCATCGCTGCGGTGGTGGAGAGCTTTTGTCCCCAGTGGTAATCCGCTCACTTTAAATGCCTCAAACCTTGGTATACTGTTTCAAAACAAGGCTGTATTGTCTCCAATATGGAGAGCGAAAAAATGTCGGTAATGCCCAGCAGCTCAGTCTTTTGTGCTGAGCACAGTCTTTTGTTATAAGGCCCAACTCTTTTGTCCCAGTTCCGGGCTCCCCGGCTCTGCATATAAAGCCTATGTACTCGAAAACGGGTCGCCTGGCAGGGAGTGGTTAACAGAATTTTCTGAGGAGTCCTACAAAATGTCTTTGTTATTGCTATCATGATGTTATTGCTACCATGACGATGTGACTATAATAAACTATTTTCTATACACAATTAGTTTCTTTGCTAATGTAAATTTTGCCCATTCGGAACAAACTTCAATTGCTGTCTCCAATCTGCTGAATGATGTGGCCCTGCCTTATTCTAACTTCCTCTCACCTTTCTCCCCCATTTGGATTTTATCTCACAGGGTATGGTGGACGCAGGGGAGACGGTATCAGTTACATTGAGGAGGGAGTTTGGTGAAGAAGCCATGAACTCTCTAGACGCCCCGCGTAAGGAGAGAAAGAAGATCGAGAAGGCCGTAGGAGAGCTCTTCAAGCACGGCATCGAAGTACGCCTGACAACCTTTTTTTCTTCAACTGACCCTATGCAATATCACAAGACAAGGATGTTGTTTGTGATCTTTCAAGTTTTTGTTTAAACCTAGCTGGGGAATTTCTTGGATTTATGCCCCATGATTGGAAGCGAACCACCTCTCTGTTTCAGGTCTTTTGTTTTCAGAACTCCAAAAGCCTTAGCGATCCACACTTCTGTCTTTTTAAAGTCATTTCTATGTGTGCCTTGTATTATCGGGACTCTCTGTAGGTTTTGTTTAAAGCGCTGTGTAAACTGCTTTATGGAAGCTGAGTTGAGAGATTTCTTGGAAACGATCCATATTTGTAAGATAGTCAGCAAGATCAAGTCCTGTGCTGAGAAACCACCAATCCAGTGACCGTAACCGCAAAATGTGATTGAGGCGGCATCATTCCCACATGTACACTGCACGTATTCTTTGATGTGAGACATGCATACTGACAAACCAGTAGTTTGGAAAAAGATTGAGAGTGTCATGTGACAAGAAAGTAAGTGTGGTACCACCCATTTGAGTGACTTCTAATTGGGGCACTCAATTAATGAATGACCTTTGACCTCCTGGCCCCCTCCTTGCAGGTCTACCGGGGCTACGTGGATGACCCTCGCAACACAGACAACAGCTGGATGGAGACAATAGCGGTCAACTTCCACGACGGCACCGGCAACAGCGTGGGGAAGTTTGCCCTACACGCAGGGGACGACGCGGGGGCCGTGCAGTGGACGGACATCGGGTCCAACCTCAAACTCTTTGCGAGCCACGAGTCGTTTATCGAAAAGGTGGCCATAAGGCTGGATGCCCACTGGTAACGCTCTACCACTTTCACCTTGTACGTTTAGTATCTCTATCTCAAAGGCCAAATTTAAAAAACAGTTTACATGTTCAGCATGTGTGCTGCCTCGTCTTTTGAAGGCTGCCTGCAGGGGCAGATTGGCCATTACAATTGACTAGTGTTTCTGCGCTGGTATACTTTGAAATTTCTCTTCCTTGTTCAGTTTTGAGTTGTATAGACTTCTTTATTGAGTTTCGTTGTTGGCTTTTAAACAGTTGACAACATTAATGGAATTGAACTTAACACCACTTTCAGTTTCCTCTTGGCATTTCCTGAGGAAACAGAAATTGGCAGAAGGCAGCTCGATTTCAGATGATACTGACTCATGCACTCCTGAACTCTACATTAGTTGGAGAATTCAGTGCTATTACAGTCAAGCACAAACTATTATAATACCTTGACTACCACGAAAATATCACCAAAAAGAAGCTTATAATCAGCAACTTAGGCAAGTCATTTTTTTTTATCTGCTATACCTTGTCTTAAACTTGGTTAATTTCCCCACTTAAAACTAGACTTTTGCAAAATTGGCAGTACCATATTATGTAAATCCATGCTGCAAAAAATGTAACACGTCATTTTAACAGAAGCGTAGATCCAAATAGCAAACATGTAAGCCTTTTATGAATGCTCTTTTGGGAAAATGTAAAGGTATGTTATTTAGAAGTAAAGTTTAAATCGCACAACGATCCATTTATGGCGAGGATTTGATGTGAAAGGGGAGGGGGAACGAAACCCAAGACATTGTTTTGAAAAAATGTGAATTGCACTCAACTTACTTTGACCATGCACTGTGCAGAAAAGTGCACATTATGCATGCATATTTCTCAGTGTCGCATAAATTTTGGGCAGGAGCCTCAGTACACACATGATGTTCTCTACATGTGTGACTCTGTTAGTCCCATTACTGGTGTGAAAAATAATTGTATTCCAGTGTGTGGGATCGTCAAGCATCTCTGCGCTCACGTGCAGAGAAATACCCTGATGCCCTGATGAGCAAACCATATGTTTTGTAATTCCCTAGTTGAAAGTTTCGATTTAGTTAAATAAATAAATAAATCTAATATTACTGCAAGGTATGTTTGGTGCTTGAAAAAGGTGTAATAACTAAGTAAAAGTCGGGTTTGGGAAAAAAGTAAACGTATATGTGCAGTGTATGTTCCCCTTAAAACAATAAAACCGAATGCCCAAGGCCTTTTGGTTGCAGAACCTTTCTTTTGCATGTAAAATCCCCTCACGTTTGTAGGAAACTAATGGCCAAAGTATATTGGCTGAACTCTGTTTTTCCTCTATTTGGCAAACTTCCTGGTTGAGTTTCAAGAATCCACAGTAGGAAGCTTAGGGTTAAATGTCATGCTTGTCATGCCAGAGGCAAAAAACTTGGTTCAAAGAATAAATCCTTTCCCATACGTGTGTGTAATACATATTTGTACAATCCCTGTCTTTGACCCTGTCAGAGCAAGGATTACACACGCATGTACAGTCATTGGTAGGAAAAACAGATTACTTCACTTTTCTGGCAATTCAGCTCACATAAGGTGTCAGTAGTGTCGCAAGAGCTTTCAAAAGCTCTTATTTTGGTCTTGCGAGTTCACAGACTTGCTTGAGGAAATGCTTGGGAAAAGGGTGCAAGACACAAAGTCAAGTGACAGCTGGAGAAATGGCTAATTCCAGCCTGGAAATGAAGGAAAACAGGATGTTTATGTGGAATGAGTCATCCTTGCTTTGTCGGGGCTTCCTAAGAACAGGGTGACGAATTCTGGCATGACTGTTTGGGGGAGAGTGCAGAATGTGACTAGGTCACACTGTTTGCACCAGGGAACGGTGTTTATGTAGCATCTGGTGTTTCCTGGTAAAACGTGCCAGCTGTTCCGGACTTTGAAGATTCTGCACAAATACTCATTACAGATTTGTTCTGTCCCCTCCATGTTGTCTTTTCAAACCAGAAATTAGCCTCAAACAAATTTTATAACTAAATGGTGTTTTAATCTAAATCTAATGTGCTAAATTGTGTTTTGCTAGTGTTAGATGTTTTGTAAATTTGTGGTTTTTGATACTGAAAAATTACAATATTGGAAGAAGTGATTATCTGAAACCGGAATATGATGTAGGTCTGGTTGTGTATATTTATGGTACATTACATCAGTTCATATCATTTGGGTTTTCACCTGTTGCGATTAAGTCATCATAAGTCCATCAGTCTCAAGTGGAGTCACAAGCTATTCAAAGGGTTGAAATGAACTGTGACGGAGGAGTTTCTGTATCATTGTTCATAGTGTCCATGACGGGCCTATTAGCAAAAGTGATCGACTTATGATGGAACTGTGATTGACTCACCTGTGCCTGTAGGGATGTTCCCTGTTCTGTGGCCAAGCCTTCTCTGCCTCTTTATTTATTGACACATTCCTAGTGACCTAGTCACAAGTTATGTTTCGTTTTTCCTTTTTTGGTGGGGTGGGGGGGCGCTCTGTGCTTGAAAATTGACTGAAGTTGATACTGCGACCCCTGGAGTACTGTTGCCAATGCTGAATCAACTGAGCTGTCTAGCCCAGTATAAGTAATCTGTCAATACATTTATACCACAGCTACTCAACCTGAAATAAATCCACAGGAATTTTTAAGGCACTCTTTGGATGTAAAAAAACAAACTGCTCTTTTATTTTTGTCAGTACTCGCCAAATTCAAGTTTGCTTTCTTTATGGAAACGCTGTTCGGGAATTGGCAGAGAGTTTTGAGTATTAAATAAAACTTGAGAAAAATGGGTATCAAGGTGCTCATCGGAGTCCTTGCGTCGGTTTAGTGCTAGCTGTTAGAACAGAGGTACTTGTTCTGGGGGTTGCAGGTTCAAACTCTACTTCCGTGAGTTTCCTTTGTTTTCTACAAACTTACCAAGAAGTTACAATTGTGTACATGTATGTGGTCAGTTAGGTGCTGTATTCTTTGAAACTTATTTTTCTTTCAGTTTTATTCAGTCATGACTGAGGTACATGAATTCTCTTTTTGATAAATCTTATTGCCAGTGGCAAAGTTGGTGATATTGTGTGTTTTATTGTGATCAATGTAACCGTATGAAGCTACTGGTAGCTAGGTCAGTTCAATTCACTTGTCAAAAGTGTAGGTAATCAAGGCCTTTTCTTGTTCTTAAAACTTCTTGAAGTTGTGATTTGTTGCAATTCTGAGACTTACTTGGGGGCTGGGGGGAGTACTAATGTGGGAATTCAATTGTAGATAAAAAAACTGGACATTTAACCTTTACTTTGCTGTGATTTTATGGTAATTCTTTTTTCTTTTTTTTTGACTCTTTGCTATGGACACTTAACCAAAAGATGAGCTGCCAAAAGTGCTAAGCGGAAAATAGTACTTTGCAAAATACCAGTCGGGGAAATTGTAGATTACATGGCAGCTTTGCTGGTAACCCAAGTTTGATTGACCTGTATTCTCGTCGCTAAGCAAAATGGGCCTACATAAATCTGTTCATGGAGTTGGGATTTAATTTACTTCAGATAAATTGGTACATTTAAAGACAACAAAGTCATCTGCCAAAAGTGGAGACTTCATCACAAAGTACTAAAAATGTAGTGTAGGTAAAGGATCATCAAACACTTATGAGTGAACTCTTAAATTTTACAGTGGCACTGAACTGTAGGAATTGTACAGTTAATAACCTGTTGGCAGTATAACCTTTTCATTGCTGAAATCAGATCAAACTATCTGTATTGGAACTAAGCATGGATTTGTGTTGGACTGTTTTATTCTTGTTCTGTGTTGTTACTACTGAAATTGGCCAAGAGTACCCTCCCCTAAGCCTTCCACCCCTACTGTATCCTTGTATTCAATGATTTTGCCCTTTTTAGTCCCCATATCGGATGACAGAACCGAAGGAAGACCAATATGGGGGGGGGTGTCTTCAGTTACCCCCGTGAATTTGAGCAGGCTGTATATACAGGTGTTTGAAACTCTTCGCCAAAACTCATCGTGAAATACAGCCACTCCGAAAGTTTCTGTGAACTATAACACCCCCACACATGTGAAACAATAGTAGTGCTAGATAATAGAGAAACCCGGTGACCATGGTAACGCTGAATTGTTACAATTTCACTGATCTCCAAGTACAATCACGATGGGCGTCCAAACGTAGATGGCGCTATTGATCATCATGGCGGCCCCCGTGTCACTGGCTGGAAAAGTTGCCATTGTAACAGGTACGTTATTATTATTTGCGTTTTTTGGAACTTAACGGGCTTCTGAAGAAATTGATTTCAAAGAATATACATTGTGACTGTGTTTTGCGTCCACATCGCACGTTTTGTGGCATTTGGAATTTCGGGGAATAGGCTATAGAAATAGCCTAGGCCTAGTCTAGACTCTTATAATTTACAGCACCACATCTTGGGCATGTTGGGCCTACGCCTCTGCTGCATGGAACCCAGGCACCAAGAAAATCACAGACATCCTTCAGCGGGTGCAGAGGTGAGCTGCCAGGTTCCTGTACGATGATTTTCAACCTACATCTTGTGTATCGAAGATGTTTACCAGCTTCAAATGGGATTCTCTCGAGACTAGACGCCACAAAATACTCATGTCAATCAGGAGATCGACATTGACGCTAACTTGTACATCAAACCCAAGCTGACCAGGTCCCAAAGAAGCCACAACAGACAGTTTGAAGTCTATCATCACACATCCAACCCCCACATCTAGTCTTTTTTCCAGAAACCTCCAACTCTGGAATAACTTATCCCAAGCATCAGTAGACGATACTAGCCCCACAGTTTTTTAAAAATTCTATCCAGCACAAGCTCCACACTCCTAAATACATGCAAGTTACTGTGCCACTCTTGTCAACTTCCAATATAGTCCCTGGTGGACCGTTCGGAGGTTATGTCCACAAGGTTAGGTACATGAACAAGGTGTAGTGCAGGTGAGTTGGCCTACTTTCAGAACTGTAAGGTTTATACAAACCTTGCAGATAGCCATATACAAACTCCCATAAACACATAATTCACCTTATATCCTCATTAAAATGGTGAAATTCTTGAGCATTTTGCCCATCCACACTACAGAAAATCAGCACATGTACTCTCAATAGCTATCAGCTGTGTGATAGCTTGACCAGTTGCAACGCAGCTCCTATCTTATCCTTTTATTTTCGTGGCCCTATCCAAATGAAAGCTGAGTTATGATTGATCATTGGAATGGAAGCAAATTGGAGTTTCTCAGCAGACACTTTCACGTTGTTATCAAGGATCTTGATATAATCCTCCTTTTTCATGATGCCCTGTATCTTAATGAGGTTCCCGGTGCCTCTAGCAGAGAAGCAACCCCGTAGCATTATGTTGCCACCACCATGCTTGATGGTGGGGACTGTGTTCTTCGGCTTGTATGCTTCTCCTTGCTTCCTTCAAACATAGGCAATATCAATGTGGCCAAAGAACTCCATCTTTGTCTCATCAGACCACAGGATCGATGACCAAAAGATAGGATCTTGGTTCAGATGCGCTCTAGCAAATGCCGGATGAGCCTCCTTATGTTTCTTCCTGAGTAGTGGTGTCCTTCTGGGCCTGCGTCTGTGGAGACCTCCTTTGAGCAATACCCGCTGGATTGTTGCCCGTGACACCTTCGTCTCTGCCTTGTCAAGGGTATCAATTGGGGCCTTGGTTGTGATCCATGGGTTGTTGTTGGCCTCCTGGCAGATTTTTCTGGTGAGTCTACGAGATACTTTACACTTCCTGCCATGCCCATTGAGGTTTTTCACTGTGTTGAACCTCTTATGCTTCCTGATGATACTCTGAACTGTTGCAACAGGGACCTCATAGTGCTTGGAAATTGCCGGTTAGCCTTTGCGTTCTTTCTTTGCCATGGTGACAAGTAACGTAACTGAGAATGATCCGAATACTTTTCTTCTTTTTATACTCTTTGGGGGTGATGGCATTTCATCAGAATCTTGAACACAAAGTCATCAAAAGAAGGTGTTTATTCTATTGGAACGTCTTAAAATAGCTTCATGCCAAAGATTCTTGCAGTTATAGAAAATGAAAATATGCAGTATGAATGAAAGGACGTTTTTGTCTTGGGATTTGGTCGGGGGTCTGAGTAATTTTGACCTGGAGCAAAAAAGAAACCCAGACCGTATCTATTATTATGCAAACGAAAATTAACCAATATACACGCACATGTGGGTTTGTGTATTGTAACAAATAGACCAAAGACAATAATAGACAAAAGTAAGAAATAATAACTGGTATCTGTATATGGAACTCTTCCCTTGTAATTTGTCATTATGACCCTGTATTCACTCAGACCTTGTCCTTCATAAAGGCTATGCATTACTGGTTCCAAATCTACCTCAATGGATAACCCTATAGGGTTATTGAAAGTTGGACTTTCTGTTTCCCTTAAAATTTTGCAAAGACAAGAAGACCCACTAACTGGGGCCTTTAATTCCATTTTTTAGGGCTGTGCCGAATAACCGAATATTCGATCGATTGTCGAATATTATTTTTGAATGTGAATATTTGAATGCAAAATTCATGAAAAGGAGAGAAAAACTTTCTTCTCGTTTTAAATGAGAAAAATTGCACCATGGAGGCTTTTTTCAAGCAGATTCAAATGAAAAGCGTCAGAAATCTTACAAGGATTTAAAAAGTAAATTATTCATTAAACAATTTGAAACGAATAGAAATTTTCAACAGGGCAAGAAGTTTTGCTCATCTCTTAAATCTTGCTAAATCGTGGCTGGAAATACTCCTAGATGTGAGAAGCTATTACATATTGATCATAATGTACAATTGTGGGTGTTATTGCAACTGATTTTGTATATGGTTTGTTCATCAGCAAGTTGCCGGTCGGTGGGACCGAATATTTGGATATTCAATCAAAGTGAAGGTTGAATATTCAAATAGTGAATTATTGGAATTGACTCAGCCCTACCATTTTTTAAAGTTTGGACTTGATCTGCATAAGTACAAGTCCAAAATAAACTGAAAGAGTTTTAATGCCCCAGTTAGTGGGTCTATGCAGAGCCAATAATCAGATACTGAAAATAACAGGTAGGAGTTGATTTAAACTACAAATTAGCAGGCATGATTGTGATTTCTGGAGAGAAAGAGAAAAAGGTTAGCCCTTAACTCAAGGGATTTGTTACAGATTCTGTATTTTGATTGTTTAACATGAATACATGTGTGCTCAGTTGCTCTCTGGAATGGGCCTGCTTTGTTCTCTACACAATATGGATTTAATTTACTTGAAATGACGGAGTAGATTTTTATAGATTCCGTGGGACTAATTCTAATGCTTCAGGCTGGATTTATATCTGTTTTAGTCTACTTGCATTCCAGGTGCCAGCTCTGGCATAGGCTGGGCCACCAGCGTGCTGTTTGCTAAGCTCGGGGCAAAGCTGACCATCACTGGAAGAAATGCAGCCAACTTGGACAAAGTGGCCAAACTGTGCCAGGAGAATGGATCAGAGCCGGTGAGCAGAAAGTGTGTACGTTATCCCCTGACACCTGTGGTGAGGCAGTGATAGAAAGCGCCCTCTCCCAGTACCTACTGTCCCCGCCCCTAGATACTGTACAGGCTACAAAATATTTAGGTGGATCAAACCTGTTGTAGTGGTAATGATAACTTCAATTGTCGGAGGGCTATTGTGACCTGTAGCCTCTCTGATCAAGCACTTGGCCTTTGAAGGCCAAGCAGTCACTTAATGATAGCTGTACCGGAGCAACTGTCTACCTTAGTGAGGTAAGCTGAGAGTGGTCACGGTGTTGTAGTCGAGACCACTTAAGACCTTCACATGACCACGCAATACCAGCACAGACCTCTAGTCTAAATTGAGGTCACAAGCTAGTCAAATGAACTGCAACAAAAGCACTCCTTTGTCATAGTTCACCCTGTTACTTGTGACCTGTCTTGTTCATGTTCTTGTGTCTGATCTTGTGATGGTCTTGACCACAACACTGGTCACAGGGCCTACTTGAGGTAGACAGCCATTGCTCATGGTGAAGTTGGACAAAAGCATCGGGGAATAGTTTGATTGGAGCCAAAGATCAGAGAGGCTATTCAAATCTAAGAGTAAATGCGATTTTGTGGGGACTCTCTTAAAAAAAATAAAGTTTCTTTACACAGCGATGTTTGTTGGTCCCTCTTTTCTTGTCACTAGTTGGTGGTTGTTGGTGACTTGACTAAAGAGGCTGACAACCAGAATCTCGTCAAGAAGACGACGGAACATTTTGGAAAGTTGGATGTGTTGGTAATCACATTGCTCCTTCTTAGTATTCTATTTTTTAAAACAGCAATTTATGTTTAATTTTTAGAATTGTAGTGGGGACCCCTTAAATGTATCACAAGACCAACACGAGACAATCACAAGACTTTAGGTCTAAATTCAAGTCGCGAGCCATTCAAATAAGCTCAACCGGATTTACCCTTGTCATTGTTCATCTTCTTACCTTGTGACTGGTCTTTTGATGAACTTGACTACAAGAGAGCTTCTTCTAATGTCCACTGAAAGCAGTCAAATTAACATGTTCATGATCGGAATATTGTCCGTTTGCTCAGGTGAACTGCGCTGGTATTATTTCATTGGGAACCATTGAAACCACGAGCATGGAGGCGTATGACACCATGATGAATGCCAACGTCAGGTAAAGTCGCAACACTGCGGGGGGGAGGGGCCACCGGGAGGGAGGCATGAAATTACGTCCTGATGAAACTGATGCATCAACAGACCGTAGCTCTAGATGCATGAAACAAAGTGAAAAAGGCCAACCACAAGTAAAGTTTCCCCAACTTGTTTCCCCATAAGAAGAGAAAATGTTCCCTGATTCAAATTGGCAGTGTAACAAGAGCTCTGAGATGTGCAATAATATGGCTTTGTCTTAATTGCGTGGCTGCAGCTTGAAGTTAAACACTACTCTGCAGGAAGTGGCTGTAGCCACTGCTCTAGCCTAACAAGCCGCAGTTATTCAGAGGGGGCCCATTTCTCTTGTCATCATCAGGTCAATATTCCATCTGTCGTCCCTGGCTGTGCCTCATCTGATAGAGACAAAAGGAAATATCGTCAACGTCTCCAGCGTCAACGGTCTGCGAGCAGTAAGTGGCGGATTAAGTGCAGAAACTAACACTGAAAATGTGCATTTACTGCTGACAAATGAGAGAGTATCCTTGATGGGCCATGTTGCCATGGTGATACTTGTAAAATACCCCTTGCTTATTCTTAACTGTGATTGGCTGGAACGCGGTCATGTGGGGTTTACTAATTTTTGCTAGTGCATGACCTGGACACAAAGCAAGACATTGCACAAGTGTAATTTCTGGAGCATTGTGTCCAGTAGGGCACTGTACTCAAATTTTTGACTGGCTACAGCGCCCTCATGTGACAAGAACAGTGAACAGCAACCAGGGAAATTAAACAAACTCTTTGCGTTGTTGAATTGCTTGTTGAATTACTTATGGCAATTTGAGTTAACAGTTGAATTAATACATCATGTCACCCTTCACCTTCTGTGTTCATGGTTTGAACTCCAGCTGATGCAGTCTTCTCTCAGTCTCTTAGATTGTCCTTTAAATTAAGGAATGTCCAGAAAAAGCCTGATATGAGCCCATTTTTTTATAGATTTTAGAAATAATATTGGCATCATGCACATATGTAAACTTTCTTATTTACTCTGAAGTTCAGGCCAAAGAGTCTCAACCCAGTTCCATCCCTGAAAAAGACACTTCTATCATTTTCTCTGAAGAGATTCTCGGGTGCATGAAAAGTGAATATTTTCAACTGTGCAATTTAATTTCATTCTTGTTTTGAAATAACAGTTTGCCGGAGTGCTAGCTTACTGTATGTCCAAGAGTGCTCTCGACCAGTTCACCAGAGTCACTGCATTGGGTCAGTCACTTTTGTCGTGATAAATTTCTGGTTTTGGTTGTAATTTAATGATTTTTCTTACAGGTATTGTATTTGTGTTTAGATTCAAGGCCACAGCAGACAGAAAGACGGAAGACTAACTTCTAAGTCCAGTTCTGAAATTTTGAGATACTACTTCATTTGAGATATCTTTAAATTGCATTTCAGTCAGTGCATCTGAAAGAAAGCTTGAAAGAAAAATGCAGTTGACGTTTTGTAAATTGAAATGACAGAAAGAAGAAAGCAGCCTGCTGGCCTCTAATCAACATTTCAACTTCAGAGGTCAGGCAACATTCCCCCAAATGTCTGCCACCAAAATTCTAACATGTATTCAGTTTAGAAATAGATACATTTGAGAAAGAAAAGTGGTTTGATGAATTTATAGACCAAGTTTGAGAAATAAACACATTTTAATAACTTTATATTTTCAGAATTGGCTCCAAAAGGAGTGCGTGTGAATGCAATCAAGTGAGTTTACGGTGAACTAATATTTATTGATGGTTGTTTTAATGTTGTTTATTTATATTTCTTTTAAAACTGAGTCTGTTTATCTATTCCTGTTATAACTAGTATCTGTCTTTTTAATTTTTGACAGTCCGGGTGTTATTGTAACTAACTTGCAGAAGACTGGAGGGCTTGATGATGAAGCTTACGCCAAGGTGTGTGACTTTTCTTTTTAAGAACTTAAAAAGAAAATTGATTGTTTTTGAACTATAGGCTAAATGCCTGGAAACTTGCCACTGGAGTATCACCACGCTCAATTATCAACCAGGTTTTACTTGTTTTTCTTTTGATGCGTGCTGGCATTTCAGAAAGTTGTTAAGACCCTACTGCAGCCTGGTACCCCTGCTGGAATGGGTTATAAATCTGGTCATTGGTTTAGTCTGGAAACTAATCCAAGGTCACATCATTATTGTGGTAGCACCATGCTTGCATGCACAGTCTTAAAGTTGAGGCGAATCATTCAGCTAAGTCCCAACCCCTTTTGGTTGAGGAGGCATGTGACGTGCATGTTCTACCTGCCCACGAGCATGGTGCCGTTGCAGTGTGTCATGTCTGATTCTGGTTGCAAGGTTAGTCTGGATCCGCTACTGGTTTCCGTCCCATCTGTGCAGCAATAAGGCTAGATTAGTGAAGTAATGCGTGTGATTAGTGATCTGTGAATAACTGCACTGACTGACTATGAGACAACCAACATATAGTTGGACAGCTGTGCGTGTCAAGCACCCACTCAGTATGCTGGTGGTTTTCAAAGAAATTGAATGCAACAGGGGGCCGCAATGTACCGATGTGTAGGACCAGTCCAATGAAATGGCAGGCTTGATGTTCTAAGCTGAATGGCCTTCAGGGTAGTTGACACAGATGATCTTGTTAATCTAAGAAGGCTGCTCACTTTGACAATTGTTGGATGTTTGCGCATTGAACTGACAAGAGTTTCTAACCAGCGAGAGCTCTAGCCTCAAAGCGCTTGAGGTTAGGATTTCATGAGGTCATTTTTCTCTTGCAAATTCCTTCCTTTAAGTTAAAAGTTCTCTTCATTTTTCTGCTGTTGAATTGACTCCGTATAAGCCTTGTCAAAACACTCAGATCACTGCATGATTAAATTAAGTTTATTTTGCCTTTCCCCTCAAATGTTGTCGATTGTTGCAGTTTCTAGAGCGATCAAAGACAACTCATGCCCTGGGCCGACCTGGGCAGCCGGAGGAAGCTGCCGATGCCATCGCTTTCCTAGCATCTGATGCTTCAACGTTCATCACAGGGGTTACTCTTCCAGTGGACGGTGGACGGCATGCCATGTGCCCTCGCTAAGGAAAGCCTGGGTGGCGCTGCTAAGGATGCGGTAGTGCAGAGGGCAAACAGTGTCTTCCTATAATTGTATATGAAGCAACCCAGCAAAGTGAGTTTTGAAGTCGGCAGAGAGCTGCATTTGAGTTACAGGCCATTGAGACAAGTCTATTACGCCATGGGAATTGGCCATAACAGTCATTTTTTAAACCCTTTTGTGACCAATATGGTGGGGATAACAATTGAGTGATATATCGAAATGCAAATCTAGTTCTGTTCTTTTACTGTAAATGTAAAAAAGAAAGATTTCCATGATCTAGTAACATTTTGGAAGTTCCTTCTAAATTGTTTTTCATGTAGCAGTCTTGTCCTTAAAATATATTAAATTGCATATCAAATCTTGAGCCTACAGAATAACAGTGTCTTCAAACCTTGTCTGGTTGGAAGGATTGGGAATTAGCCATTACAAACCTTCAAGGGTCAAGAATGTAGATTTTGTATGGAAACGTGTTGCATTTGACCTCCGACTCATCTTTCTATCATTTTGCTTTTTGGTTGCTCTCTGTGAAAAATTTTTTTTTTCTGACAAATGTGAGGCCCATTGCTGTGATGTCATAACAGTAAGAGACTGTTCACCCGAGGAGGTTTCTGTTCAAATGATGAACCTCGTATTTGCGCATGCGAAATTGAAAACTTTGCCCTCCGGTCTACTGTTGTAATCTGAAACAGCAAGTCACCAAAGTGAACAAAATTCCAACAACAAAATACCAAACACTATAGTGAAGAAACAGCTGTATCACCAAAGTATCTGCCTTGGATAGCATCACACTTTTGTCCATAAATATCTAAGTTTGCATGAGCGTTGCAAGTCATAAAGGTACCAAACTGCCTGTAAAATGCCGTTCCAAAAATTAAACGGGACACAAAGGAGTATCTACGGGAACTGCATGAAAAAATGACATCGCCTTGCTCTTGAAATGTTATACACATGTATGTTGTGTTGAAATTTACTTCGTGTCATCTTGCTGAAAATAGTCAGTGGGGAATGCTTCCAATGCTTCCATTTAAATTATATCACAAAGTCCGAACTAAGAATATAAGTTCATTATAAATTATATCTTTGGAGCCTGTAAATTGTCTGTGTCCTTATCTTAAATGTTGTCCTCAGATAATCATGGAGTTCATTTGTATCCATTGGCATTGATGCCAATTACTGATCCGAGGGTGGCTTTTGTAAAAGGAATACCTTGTGTACCATAAAATTTGTTAAGAAGAATACTTTGTAAAAGTTGTAGCTCACTTCATACAGACAAAGGTATGAAGACGGTAATGTGACTGGTTTATTTTGATGAGAGAAAGAAACTGCATGAAATTATTCTGCATGCCACATTGAAGTCCATGTGGGTTTTATTCATTGCATTCAAATCTTATTAATTGTAATTCTCATTCCATTTAGTTTTAATTCATATATTTTATAGATCTGCAGCTGGCTTCAGAGTATTTGGCATGTGGGAATGAGAGATTTGTGGTCTGTGGCAAAGCAAACTGTTTATTTCGCCATAAACGTTAATTGGATAAATTGCTGAATCCACGAGAGTTTTTTCTGTTTTCAATCAGTAATTCAGAAACCTTTCCCTCAATACATTTATGTTAGTTTTGTGATTTTTGTCTGTCAATGTGGTGCTTTGTGCCTTGTTTTGTATTCTATATTTCCATAAATCTAGGAACTTGTAAGAATGGCATATTTGGGGTACGCATTCCAAGCTGGAACATTTACATTAATTTCCATGCTTTATTTGGTACAAATGCGTTGGTTGGGGTCTTGAGCAAGAAACATGATTTTTAGCTCTCGGATTCCGTGAAAAGTACACTGCCCGGCAAAACCTTGACCTGCGGGACAGTGTTTGCATGTTGAAACAAAATATGTAAGTAATCAACTTTTAAATCAAATTTTACTCGGAATTTTGCCTCATGGGATAAGAAGTTCAAAGGAGGCTAGTACCTTACCATAAACAGGTTTTCCTGACCAGTTTCAGCAAAAAGTTGTTCAATACAATGTGAGGCCAACTTACATTCATTTTGAATGATCCTCAAGCATTGGAAAATCAAATGCAGGCATTTGATTTCGTTATGAGTATTTTTTCAGGAAATACATTCATTTAAATTCTAGACATCGTTTTGTACTTTCACGTTCGGCAAAGGGCTCATTTCATTTGCAGGAATACAAATTCGGTCCAGTGATGAGTGCTTTTTAGATCCTATGTAAATCTGATCTTGCAAGATTTAATACAGTGGATCTTCAGACATGTTTTTGCCAACGTCACCTTATACAAAAATTGTTGTGGCCGGGTTCTTACAGAAAACTGAACATCTTCGGTTGGGAAAACGTGCTTCATGCTTTTCAGGGCAATAACGAAAAGAAAGGCATGAGTGGGGGGGGAGTCTGGTACACTTTGACCTAGAAATAGGAAAAGGTCATGAATATGTATGAGCGTAATTATGATCATAAGATATGAATAAAAATTAGGTGCAGGGTAAAATTTGCCGACACCGGTGGTAAGCTCGGTGGTCGAGTGGTTAAGACATCTGCACTAGTATGCAGGAAGTTGTGGGTTCGAGTGCCACCCAAGTACGCTCGTGTGTTTTTTTCACAAGCCTTCAATCTGGACAATTCAAAACAATGCGGTTGCAACATTTGAAAAGAAGAGATAACAGCACTAACATGCACCAAAGAGTAAAAAAAGGAACGGACGTATCTTTACAGCACATGTAAACAAATACATGTAATTTAAGTGCGTCACGCGCAATCGATTCGCACTGAACATGCTGCCATTCATCGTTTATTTGCCCACTGCCTGCGCGCAAGACCGGTGGTCTATGCGTTTATAGGTGTGTGGGTTAATATTATCATTGCTGATCTATGGTTATTATCGCGTATGCATTATGCACTGTGCTTTCGTTAACGCACTGCAGACACCTCAAAATAGACCTTCGCGCTGCGTACACACAGTGAATCCGTAGCGAGTATAATGAAACGTCAGAGAGATCCCGACTTGAGTTAAGTCTAGGTCTCGATATAGCAGAAACTAAGACGTCAGAGAGATCCCGACTTGAGTCAAGTCTAATAGGACCTTGGGAACGGTGTTCACCTTATTTGGAATTTCCTTTTTTCAATTCAATGCAGTATAATGAACATTCTTACAGTTCCTAGACGTTCCTACGTACATTGGAGGGGCGTCTGTGCACGCGAAAACCAGGAACCTGTCTACTCATCAACATGTGGGAGGCCGCACAGAAAGCGCGCCACAAACAGCGCGCCATCGCATCACGTACGCAGCTAGTCCGTGTAAACAAACCAGCGTGTCTGACTGCGAGTAAACCATTCACACTAGGCAACGTGACTTGATCGTTTCCTTGTCACATTCCTCGCCCAAGGCTCGTCAAATTCAGCTGGTCAACAATGGAGAAAGAAAGAAAAGTCTACAAGATTGTCCTGACTGGAGGTAATGCATTTTTACGCAAGTCCACGTACAAATTATGAAATAACAAATGTTTACCGATTTCGCATTCGTTGGGCTGGTGGTACTGTTACTACTACTGCTGTTCCCATCGGCAGCTTTTGTCTAGACTTTAGGGTGGCGTTTTGTGTGAAATTTATTAGCATTTACATAATACTGTAGTACATATGCTTCTTTGAGAACTCAAAATCACTATTCCGTCACACGGAGTATGACGGAGTTGTCAGGTAGTGACTTTGAGCTCTCGAAGTACGTAGGCCTATATTCCATGCATGTGGCATGTACATGTAACTGTGTAGGGTCCACAGTGTAATTGTGCATTATCAGCGTTTGCGTGTTAATGTCAGATTCATGACAGCCTTATATAATATTTATGATGATGAATGAATGGTAGACCCAAATTCGTTATCACCAGATTTAATGCTCAGTTTATCACATACTTTGCTTCTATGGAGGAAGGAAACCTTATGAGAAGAGTTCCATATACTAGTAATTCTTCCCTACAGCGACTTAATAGCCATCAGAAAGCAAAAACATGTCCAGAAAGTTCAGTTTAGGAGGGAGAACACCAAGTCGTTCACTGAGAAAACACAATTTTTGGGTTTGTGCCCAGGGTGTCAAGTGGCTTTTGTATATGGAACTCTTTCCAAACCTTTTTTTCTGGCAGTTTTGTTTGTGCTTTGCTGAGGGAATTTCTTGCATCTGGACCTTGTGCATTTTTGTTTCACATAGTTTTTCAACTTCTTTGAAGGCGTTTATTGGACTATATCAATTATCAGTCCAAAATTACTTTTGAAAGGGTTCCATATACGAATAACACTTGATGCCGTTGTGCACAAACGGTATGAGACTTGTCTGAGAAAAGTGTTTTCTAGGTAGATGCAACAGAATTTTCTCAGCTAAATTTCACTTTTTATGACATGTTCTTAAAAAATGTAAATATTCATCACCACTTTACTAGGCAATGATCAGACTACCCCTATGCTTTTTCACTTGCTAAGCTTGCTGTTACCATAGCACAGCTAGGTATAAAGGCCCTAAACTATGGAACTCACTGGATCTCTCGTTAAAAGATATCAGCGGTCGATCCATATTCAAACACAAATATAAAAATCACTCACGGAATAATTACCTGTAAGTTAATCATTCACATACAGGTTTTACTGGTTATGTTCTGTCCCTTGTAATTTCTGCTATATTAACATGCATGTGCTTTTATAAGTGTGAATATGTGTGTGTTTGTAGTTGTTATTTAATTTAATTTAATTTCTGGGGGCCACTACTAGACAAGCTCTGCTTTTTAGAGGCCCCCATCCACATTTATTGCTGTAATGTGTGATGTTTACTGTATTGTTATGTGGAGAAATAAACAAGATTGATTGATGTTATCACATTCTGACGGTTGTTATAACATTTTACGGGAAAATTAGTGTTTTCCGTATATGGAATTCTTTCCATTACTTGTTCAGTCTTGCAAGTGTTCCTCCTACACAACTGAAATTACAGCATTTTTGGGGGCATGTTTTGGGGATTTGACGTGGCTTTGTGTAAAAAAGATATTAAGTTTACCCTAACACTGATGTGAAAGTATTCCATTTATATAGTATATAAAGAATTCCTCCCCCCAGGTTCCCTAGGCCACTTGTCAAATTTGGTCATGTTTTCAAGACCAAGGAATAGAATTGTGATAACCCACTTTTTTCATTCTTATGATGGAGTTGTTTCAATCCACTTATTTCTCACATGAGTCTTACGTGTATGTACACACATAGAAGGAAAGACAACAAAGTGTGTCCATCCCCGATATTTTAGTTGTTTTAAAATTGCCTCATCTGTTTTTTACCTAAATATGGGAGATTTTGTCACTACGAAAGTGACAATCCCATTTTGGTTGGGAAAACCGAGGAAGAGGGTTGTGAAAACAATTGATAAGCGTGGATAAGAGTTTGACATCAGTGTTGTTCAGCCTGCAGAATCCAACATTTTCGACAAAAGGTCCTTTTCATTTCTTTGGTTCAACAAGATGCAGTGCACACATTGGTAATAAATGCCTTGATGCTGCTTATCCAGCAAAAAGTTTCTCTGACAACATGAAATGGCGATATGCCTCTTTTGTGGCTGCCATTATTGACTCAAATGCAAGAATGAGGGAGGTTGAAGCCTCAGATACCAACCTGCAGCGTGTACATGTATCCAGCTGGCAGGGTGGGGGAGGCAGATATCTTTCTTGCCTGCTCGGAATTCTACAGGTACCTCTGAATGATCTTATTTGCCACAATAAACGACTTTCAATGACCAAAGAGGACGAATCCAGGGAGTATTATCCAACATGAAATCAGTTGTTTTTTTTTTCGCCAGACCAAGACCCCAAAAACTGATATTTTGCAGTTTGTCTTGAGAATGTTTAGTTTGTACCTGAACTCTTGAGGATGGCTTCAAATGCTCAAGTAACCACTTGGAATGCAAGATTTGGCCATCCTTCCTCAAAGGAAACTTGATGTGGCATCAGTTTGTTTCAAAAGGAGTGGTAAACGAAAGTGTTGTTACCATCATGCCAATGCTCTCCAGCTACAGTGTAAGCATAATGCAACAACTTTACCTGGACAACAGACATTGTTGCAGCATCCTCAATTCATATAAATGGCACAATTTCATTTTTAAACAGTCAGCTTATGAATGTGTTTCCACAGGCCTTTGGTAAACACTGAGTATACAACTTTCAGTCCTTGTTGGATACTGTATTCAGATTTTAATACCTCCATGGCTGGATTGCAGTTTCTGAGTCCATTAGTCTTGGCTCCAAGACATTACTATCTGTGAACGCTTTAGCACAGTAAATTTTGCCAGTCAACAGAGGTCGCAATGTGACGGACAAGGTCTGTATTCGCAGTAACTACATGTATGTGTACGATAATCTTGCACAATTGGCCATCACATAGCGCCCTCTGTTGACTGGCAAAATTGACTGCACGAACACAGATAGTATTAATTAACAGTAATGTCTTGGAACCAAGACTGTGAGTCCATGGGCAACTCGAGACAACATCAGTAATGTCAAACATAATGTCTCTCCCTGTGTGATTCAGGACCTTGTGGGGGCAAGACTACCGGGCAGGCCCGCCTGGCAACATTCTTTGAAAACCTTGGGTACAAGGTTTACATGGTGCACGAAACGGCTACCTTTCTCCTGTCGTAAGTATTTTTGGGGCTTCGTGAAACATTAGCATGCAAGTAAGAACGTTCACGTTCATATCTTTTATTGTACAACTAAAGGTCCCTTGAAACAGACTAGTGATAGCGAAAAGCGACAGTGGAGAGTGTGATTTGATGTTGTACATGGGTAATTCCAGAAATTAGGAGTCCATTTTTTTGGTGTCTCTGTCACATCTTACATATGATTTTTGTAAGTTCAGAATACATTTTCTAATTTCCAAGAGTGAGGAATTAATGCAAATTACGTGCCAAACAAATAGCAATAGTTGGAAATCAATTCTGGTGATATTTCCATGTCAAACAACAAAGGTAAGATGTAACAGGGACACAAAAATATCACACTTTTGGAGGCCTAATTTCTGGAATTACCCACATCCATACTCAAGGTGGAAACCTGTTTGGTATTCACTTGTATATGTAAATGACTTGTCACAATAATAATGGGCCTCCCACAACAAGGAACTGCTCAACCATGCCAGTCAGACTGGGATGTTATGTAATGAAACAGTTAAGTCCTCAGTCCCCCAGTTGCAATGCCACATCTTTGAAAGGGCTCTCAGCTTTCTAGGCAAAGCAGTTAGTCACCTTACTGCACAGTTTGTCTGCTCCCAGTGGGAACAGTACCACAGGAAACCATTTCATATGCAGCAAGGTATGAGACGGAGAGAACCCCCCTTGCTTTGTGTTGGTCATTGCCTCGCAGGAAGCTGGGGAATTCCTTTCAGACATCTTGGGGGGATGTGTTAAGTAACAATAGTCTGGAATGTGTATAGGGATTGGACATGTTGGGGGGGTACCCCTCGGTCTCATTTCTTGCTGGGTATAAACCATTTCATTCGATATTATTTTACTGTGGGGATTCAGAATATCCTTTACTGCTCTTTGTGTCAAAGGACCCAAACTTGACATGTTTGTTTCTAGGGCTTGTTTACTCATCGAAGGTAATAAACATTTGTTATTGCTTATCATTTTTTTTATGTGGAGTTGCTTGTGATATCTGTCTTTGTAAGCTATTTTGGTGGGCACTTGAATTTTTATGAGGTTTGCTGCTTTTTGTTCAAGTGGAGAAAAAGGTCTGTTTTCATCAAGGCTCAAGCACATTTATACAACCACTCTAACCTAACCTTCCTGGCATTTCAAACACTGTTTATTTTCCCTCAATCACACGGTGCATGTGGGCATCTAATTACACCGCTTCTGTGCTGATCAATGCTGTAGTTATTGCAATAGTACCTAGCATAATTTATTTATTCCTTATCGCACAGTGTGCGGAGTACCGGGCAGATCCAGAATTGATGACCCAGAACAACTGTACTGTTCTATCAATCAGTTGCTCAACACCAAATGGTGTTGAGACATTACATGTATGTGTAAGATCACTTTAAAAAGGAATTCAACAAAGTTAATTGTTGGCTGGATAAAAGATTTAGGGGTGATAAAAATTATGTCAGACGTGTTCAGTCTTTGGATTAGTGTGTTACATTAACAAATATTCTAGTATATAAACTGAAATGGAAAGAGCATGCTTGAACAATAACACTGCCAGCAGAATGATTAGAAATAACATAATATGCATTCCTTAATGTGGGTATTTTTCTAGTTGATCACTTTGTTTCCGTTAATGATTCATACATGTACATCAATCAGGATACGAGGTTGTATGTCAGATCAAGGTCGCCCCAATGAGGCTTTGAATTCAGCAATGGGTGTTTTATGTTAATGAAAAGAACTGAAAGGCCAAAGGGACATGTAATAATGTTGCACATTTCTCGTTTTGTTTTCTTTTTACTCGGTAACCATTTCATGGATAAGTGGCCCCAATAGTACACCTAAAAACCCCACAGCGGTGTATATGCTAATGCTAAGGGCTTCAGTGATGTGTCGCATGCTGTAACATGTATGAAACTCAATCTCACAAACGATCTGCAATTTTTAGGGATTAGGAATTTTTATTTATATCAAATAATGAGATTTCAAATCTGGAGGGAACTCTGACAAGAGGTGATCAGTGAGCTAAGGAATCAATGAGAAGAATTCCATCAGAAAGAAGAAGATACAAAATGAAACACTTGAGTTAATAGTCGTCAGTAGGAAAAAAGGGGATTTTGTTTAAATGTTGTAGCGGCGTTCGGTCCTTGAGTGCACTTCCATGAAGTGGATTTAAAATGAAACAATTTCAGGTAAATGCGAATATGCAGAATGATTTTAAGAAGTAAACAGACACTCTGAGGACTAACACAAGGACCAGAGAAGGCTGTTTTCAATTTTTAGAAGCTCCATAAACACTCAACTGAATTCACAAGTGCATGGCTTTTCGAGCTCCCTACCTTGGTATTTCGTGTATGCATAATTATATACATGTACTTCATACAATGTACATACACATGTGTAAATAGTTGACACAAAGTTCCAGTGATGAATTCATGGTACATGTATTCCTTTGATATGACCGAGCAGTGAAGTGTTCTGAAAATCAGATTTCAGTTTACAGACATCATTCACAATAAAAATGAACGCCAGATTTTGTCAATTGAAACCTAAAACCTCTAAAAGGAGCGGTTCCATTTAAACCTTTTGGAAAATCTGTCAATGGATTTGGAACCTTTTCATTTAAATGTGTAAACGTCCTACCCGTATTTGATACACATTTCTTGGTATTCTCACACAGTCAGGCAAGTTTTCACTCAAGAAAAAACAAATAAAGTATAAGTAGAAACTTAAGTATTTTTTAAAATCATGAAACAAACTATATAGGGAAACTAGGTGCTTTTAAATGATTGTAAAGATGAACAAAGAAAATTGACTGGAGTGGGATTTGAACCTGTGACCTCCGGAACACCGTACCCGTGCTCTATACCAACTGAGCTTTTTTTTTTAAGCACTTCAAGCTTTTCTACATGTATGTCCTGTCCTGACTTGGGAATGAAATCATTTCATGGCCCGTGATCTCTTTTCTGGTAAGAAACAAAACTGAAAAGAGAACGTGAATGGTCTGTTATTGCACTGGTGATGATTCCATTGTGCATGTAGGACCCGAGTCCATCTCTGACATGTGCTTCCAGGTCTATCGCTCTCGTTCGTTGTTGCAAGCCCTGGGAATATGCCATGTTGTAAGCTGGGTATTAATTCCCTCCATGGAATTGTCAGAGGTTGATTGATAGCCCACACAGGTGATGAATGCTGAGTAATTAATGTAAACACACAGCAACTTATCCGTTTTTCGACCTGTTTGTTTTGCAGTGGAGGAATAAAATGTGCAGAATTGAGTGATGATGAAGGTAAGTTTTTATGGTTTTATAGAGGGTAGACTTGATATTTTAGAGTATTTTGTTGGTGCACATAAGAAGAATAAGGTTGGCATAACCTGGAACCTAACAAGGCTCCAATGGTTTATAGCCGGAGGTTGAAATAGGACTCATTTGGCTGTGTAGTCTAGGGTCATAAATGTACTTGAAAGCAAAGATTCCTTGTACAGTATGTCACCCAGGCTACAACGTGAGATCTCATTACTCTGGACATGTGCACAGTTTCAGGTGATAACCTGGCAGCCATACCATGAGTCAGATTAGTGTGACATGGGATGGAAATGTTTTGGAGAGATTAAGAGAAATGAGAGACATTTTGAACTAGAATTTCCTTTGATAAGTTCAAAACACCTCATTTTCCAAATACATCAGAAAGACCGTTATATCATACCATGTAGACCCAGAATGTTGTTTGATTTTTTTTTTTTTAAGATTAGGAAACAGAAATGTGTTACAGTGTTCTCCACAGCCTAAAATTATAGCAGGGCGGCACACAATGCGAGTGCAGAGCACAAAGCCATTATGGCGTAGGGTCCTTGGCCCACTCAATGACCCTGGGAAATTTTGGATTCTAGATGCTCTGAGGTGCGATCAGAGGTATTTTCTGGGCACTTTCTTTTGACTCCTTGAATCAAATTTGATTGTTATCGGGAAGTCATCAAAAGTTGATTTTTTTTTTCTGGGGCATTTTCTGTTTTTTACTGATGGGAACTCACCATCGAGCTGATGGTTCGGGGGTTACATGTACGTATGTGGGCACAGCATGAGTGGATGATGTACTGTCGCTTCCTTAATTCCACATCTCAAAAATAACTGTGGGTGGATTCCAGCGACAGAATCCTATAATTGTGGTGAAAAATGGTCAGTAGTCCACCTTGTGTATTGGAAAAACTGCAAAATTACTTTCAAAATTCAAGCTTTTAATTTAGGCTTACGGGATTGTCAAAAGTGACAACACTTTTTCTAGTTGTGAATCAGTTTAACCAATTCCCAAAAATGACAATTTTTTTTCTTATATAAAAAGTCAACCAGAGCCATTATAGCAAGCTGATTTTCTAATTAAGAATTTCTTGATTTTGAGAAAATTAGTTTATAAATAATAATTTCAGTGAATTAAAAAGTGAAACTTAGGTAAATTTTGATTCGAGTTTTTCAGCTGTACTGCAAACAAGCAGCGACTATCCCCCACGCTACACAGTTGACAAACCCATTACTTCTCATACATGTACATTTCTGTTACATACGTGTAGTTGAGTTTACAACATAACTGTGTGCACTTATGGTGTAATCTAGGAAAAAATATGCATTTAGTTTTTGGCCAATGCACCGTATAAAGAAAAATAAACTCTGAAAGTCATTTTGATTAAACATACATGTACATTACATGCAAAAGTTCATAGGACTGTTACGTAAGAAACAAGTATTTGGAATCACATGCACAGAATGACTTATCACCCGATATTTTTTTATCCTTTATTGTGGCTCTTGTGATTTTTGACAAACCTTTCGAAAATTTCAAACTCTGAGACGGAAATCTGGCAGAAAGCTGGCAGAAAATTTCTTTTCTAGACATTTTCTGAAAACAGAATTTTGTACAAGAAACTTACATTTCACTTTTCTAAAACTAAATGCCGGAAATTGGCTGTATTTCTCCCCCCCCCCAAAAAAAAGGGCACATTCGAGGTATTGGTTCTTGACGTGACTAAATGAAAATGCTATGACCGGGAGATTAGAAACAGCCCAGAATTTCTGCTTAAATACTACATGTATACTGCGTCTGGCTTTAATCATAAAAGATGTGAATAATGCTGGTTGTGCTGAATAATGATGGCAAATTCATCATGTTTGTTCCATAAAGTGCAGTAAACTTCTTTGCATATAGATAAACTGTGAAGATGGTGGAGAACAGGGAAAATCCAACAGAAAAAATAGCAAAGTGGTGAGAATTTTGGCGGGGTGGCATAATTTTAGCGGGGCAGTCTACATTTAGACAGGGTGGCCCGCCCTGCTAAAACCCCTCGTGGAGAACACTGTGTTAGTATTTTTCTGTCAACAATGGCTAGAAAACGGAAAATATAACACACGTGTGGAATTCAATATTGATGGACAATAACAGCAAGATCCATTTAAATGGAATTTGTTGGCTTGCACACATCAGTGCATGTGACAAGTTGGCATGGTCTCCTGTTAATGCTGGATAATGTCTAAATCAGTGTTGTATTTGAGTCCATCACAGGTCCCTGCAAGTCTCTGTAAATCCATCACAAGCCTGTCACAAGTCATTCAGTCTTAAATCAATTCACAAATAAGCTGTGACAAAGCATTCTATTGTCATTGTTCACCCTCATGCCTGGGGCTGGTCTTTTGATGAGACTGGTGACTGGGCTTGTGGAGGGACTTGAATGCAACACTGGTCTAAATGCGAAGGGGTAGCGTGCTGAAGCACAGAGGTTGTTTAAACATGTTCCAGCAAATTCTGTATGTTGTGCTGTGTGATGTCGTCCATGGCCTCACATTCAAGGGATTCCTGTGGAGTTTGTATGCATGCTTGGAGGCTCAAAATTGATTTGGAACCCCAATCAAATCAATAATTGAGTCCAGACCTAAATTTCAGCACACAGGCTCCAAACCTTGCCATTTTCCTTCTGCACAGCCTACAAATTCCAGGCCAACCTCTTGAAGACTCTACTGCAGGCTGAGGAGACATTCTTCCAGCTAGCTGAGACTTGCCCTAGGAAATGCCTGGTCATCTGTGACCGGGGTGCCATGGACCCCTCAGCCTGTGAGTACAGTATGCCCATTTCTAGCTGCGGCACTTTCAATTCCTTCTAGCAACTTTCAGGAGCCAGTATGATTTTCAACAACACCTGCTTAAACTGAAGTGTTTTGTAGGTCACTTGAGAACATCAGCATGGGTATGTAGGGTGAAGACCCTGTCTGCACAGCCTTCTACCTGTATGTAAATGTACTCACACACACTGAATATATCTAAGCTGGCATGACGACAGGTACTATATTATTGAATGACCTTGCCTTTCTGAAATACTGAGCTAGCTCATTCTTTGGTCGTAAGCAGTAGTTTGTACTGTGGCACACTCCCCTTATTTAGGGGAAAATTGCCTTAAAAAACTTGGAAAAATTCCTACCCAGAAAGGAGCAATAAACCCTTCGTCCTTCATTGTGTTTGCCATACAAACAATGCATTTGGAAGACTCTGAGATAAATTTTTCTCACCCACAAGATTCCAACTAAAATGTTGTACACTGAAAAAGAAGAGTTGGAAGCTTATGAGTGTAATTGATATAAAAATATCAACCTGAACCAACTTATAACTATCCTCTTAAAATTATTCAAAGTACCAACAACCTCAAGAGTAGTTTCCTGAAGACTAACAGATGGATCATTGTTCCTATGTCAAGACTTTTACTCATCACCAGCTGTTCTCATCAGCATTTCTTCTTGAAAGAGATTGCCTCCACAGTGTAGCTGTGGTACACCTCTCAGTAATATTTCTCTGCCATGAAAAGTATCAAACAACGCTTAACTTAAACAGAATTATTTGCAAGCCTTTGACTGGCAAAGTTCCCTGAACGTATTGTGGAGTATTTTACTGTTGTTTAGATCTAGCTGAAGGCGAGTGGGACAAGATGAGGGAGGAGTATGGTTTCGATAACGTCGCCCTTCGTGACAAACGATACGATCAGGTTATTCACATGGTACGTAGCTCATCTTAAACACAAAAGCCCAGACTTGTTAAAGTCCCAGACCTTGTATCAACATTGTAAAGATTTGAGCTTGGAGTCATGTGCCCTAGTAACAAGTAGTAAGATTCCCATTTGAACCACAAGAAAAGACTACAAAAATTCTGCCTTAAAAACCTGCAATTCGCCCTGAGTTGAAATGAACCCTCACTGGCAAAAGTTTTCTGACCGGGTTCTTGCACGTGTTTGGCGTGCATGTGAAGACCATACATTCCAGAATAAATTCATTGCACATACCGGTACTCGGCATGCTTCACTTTCAAACAGATATAAAGTTGCGCTCCTGTGTGGTGAGTTTACCAAAGGAGTGTCATTTTCATTTGAAAACGGCATCTTTTTTTCCCACTTGGGGCAGATCGCAATTTCGTATTTTAAAGCCAGTGTACAGATACATATTTAGCTGAATAGTTAGTCCTACTGCATGCAACTCACCAAGTAATACTAGCATCTGGCATGAAAAACTGCTCGGAAAAAAGGATGAACAAATGAAAGCTATTGAGACAAGTTACTCGCTGTAGCATTGGATGCTTGTTTTCCACTATATGTGATGTAGAGACAGTTGAAAAAGAAGTGCTGATCCTGTGTAGTAATTGCCGTTATGTCGCGTTTGTAGATCCTGCACTTTCATTGGTTTAAAAATGTGACTATCTGTATCATTTTTTTATTTCTGTTATTTGCTGAAACACAGCCACTGGTGTTCTTGCTATCTGTATGTATGCTGCGACTTATTGGACAAAATATCTAGTGTGCCTTGAATCTCCCCGAGCCAACATCCAAACACATTAATCCCCCGTTTTTTTGTACGCACAAAGTCCAAAAAGTCTGTAGAGGCAGGCAGTGTGTTGAATTAATGAACTTGGCTGCTGTACATAGCCTACTTTGGTAGCAAATGTCATTTAGTGGATGCATCCCTCACAGTTGAAAAGATGAGATTGCAGTAAGAAACAGCTCACAGATGCTGTTCGAATGACTCTATTAAGTCAGTATTTGTGACATTTGATTGTATGAAATGTCACCAAGTTGGTCTTACAGCTTTATCGAAAATCTAAGTTTTTGGCCAAATTAATATCATCAGCAAACAATGGAAGAAATATAAACCAGAAAGTTTCAATTTGCGTTAACCTCGATTCCTCAGCAATCGGCTGCCAATGGAGCAGAGGAGTTTTACACTGGTTCCCAAGGTAACACCACACGAACAGAGAGCTGTAGTTATGCTGTCAAAGTCGACAATATGACCAAGCAGGCCTGGGTGGGCCATCCCTACTTTGACATCATTGACAATTCCACCGACTTCGAGGGCAAGATCAAGCGCATGATCTCTGTAAGTTTCAAGTTGTCTTTTAGGTGGCAGATTTTTTTTCGGAATAGTGATGAAGATCTCCTCTCATGAGTGAATGTGAACTTTGCACACACCGAGAAACGGAGAATTGATTGTTGTCACTATGACAACCCCTGTGCTGAACAGTTAGCGGAATTCTTCATCCCTGTCCTAATCTTACCCTCATGCATACACACATTTTGTCAGCCCCAGTGGATGTTGTTGCTAGGGAACAGAGCACCACATTCATGCATGCAGAACCCACTGACTGTCTAGCACAGACTTTGAAGCCTTTTTGTTTTCTTTGGTGTGTGTGGGTAGACCATCGCAGATCGCATGGGCCTTGACATTGGGGACCGTCTGGCCAAGAACAGCATCAAGCGGAAATTCCTCGTCGCTGAACATCTGGATGAGAAAATGTTCCCGCCATTTGAAGACTTTGAAGTCAAGCACGACTACTTGACCACGTCCAGTGATGGGACAAGGGCCAGATTACGGAAACGAGGCCAGAATGGTACATAATTATGAATTGTGTTTGGGCATTTTTTGTTTATTTTTTGATCACATGAATTATAGTGACACAGCCCTGAGATTTAATGGCATCATTTAACAATTATTGAGCCCTGTGATGAGGGATGTGATGTGCTAATGCCCGAGGTACTCATAGCACCAAAGGTGAAGTCGAGTATGCTGTGTGTCCACAAGGACTTCTCCACTACCACATCAATATTACCGTGCCTTAAAACGTCACGCTTGGAAACAATATCTCAAGTCTTAAAAACCATTTTGCCTCAGCAGACATTACATTTATGTTACATTGTTACATGACATATTGTTTGTCGTGTCTGTCAAAATAATTATGAATATTTCACCTGTCTTATGTGTTTCCTGTCCAGGTATCTACACGTACATGCACACAGTTTGCCGTCCAGAAATCACCCAGCAAGCTATTACACTTCGAACACCGGTAACCTCCAGACAGTACAATGTAAGGCTGTGACATCAACATCAGTAAATTCTCTCGACAAAAGTGGACTTTTTTGGTTTAGGACCAGCAGGGGCGACTCGCGGTGAAATACGCAGCCGCACATTCTCAGTTGAAGAGGCCCCTTCTGAACATCTTGCTTAGAATTGTTCTCCCAACCCAACCATCACGTTCCTTCACATTCTTTGGACATGCCACTGTGCCAGCACAAATACATTTAGAGCCTCTTACATAAACTTAGCATTGTTGACATATGAAGAAACTTGACCATAACCCCCTCGGGTGTACCGTAATTTTCAGAATATAAGCCGCCTGGTGTATAAGCTGCAGCACGCAAGAATCGGCAAATTAAGATTTAAAGTCATCGTATAAGCCACACTGGTATATGAACTGCACCGCGGTGCTGACAATCAAACCACGAAGGTCATCGTGCTGCGTACTGAAGCGCCAATACAGCATGTACGATACGTCAGTGGTTCCATTACACGTGCAATCCTAATAAAAGTAAGCAAAACATGAATGAGTGTCACCATAAAACGTGAATTTGAAGTCCTCAAATTTAGTACTTTTTGCTGGCTGGATGGTGGTCCTGCATGGGCCGCGTATCAGCTCTTGCCTTTTTTTCCCAGCGGCCAGCAAAAGTTACGCAGTCGGGGTTATACAATAAAATCTTGGTAACTCGTATTCAGTTAAGCGGAAAGATCGTTTTTTCTCATAGGTGGACTGTTTCTGGCCAAAAGAATAGGCTTTTATATAAAAGAAATACCTCTAACTATCCACAACACTACATCAGATTATCTCTAGGTTTTTGTGACGCCGATCCAACAAACACCACCAAGTCACTTCAAAGATAATTAAAAGTCCGCTACGAGACCTTTGTTCAACTCATCATATTGGAACCACTTGTGTTACATGCATGCTACACTGCATGTGACATGGCACACACGCACCACTGCGATTGAGCAAATCCTGTTTTCAGGCTAGCTTGACTGCTATTGCAGACCCATTCGTGGACAATCCAATTGCTGCCTCTTTCCAATAACCACTCGACAACTGACCTTGGAAGGTGTTGTCATCAGAAAACCCAAGTGAAAAAACCCTGAAATTCTGTGGCACGTCATGCTAAACATGATCGGCGAAAAGACGAAAGATCTGCCACACAAAGGTACACCACTGAAGCGGTTGATTTTTATTTAACGATGGAAAGAAATCTTTAGGTTACAACAATAAAACAATCTTTGTATGAAAAACGATTATTCGTCTGCAAAAAATACACCATGAGATTGAATAAAAAGTGGCAAAATAATCAAACAATTTTGCCACCGGACAAGTTAAGTTTAAGATTACGTACATGTACACATTTCATGTAGGTGTGTGTTTCTTGACTCCATGACTCGGGGAATTCCATTAATAATGTAACCTGAAATCTGGACAACTTGAATTTTTATTTTTTTTTCTGAGGTTTGAATTTCCAGATGTAAACAGCAACCAACAAAAAACATGACTGCGCTACCTGCATGTGGCATGCTTGGCCCAGGCTCGGCTTTTGTGACTGATTTTATCCTTCAAAGTTTGCCGTATAAGCCGCCTGGCGTATAAGCCCCAGAGACATTTTAAGCATAAGAACCAACGTATAATCCAGGGCTTTTATTCCGAAAATTATGGAATGTAAAAATCGTATTGAAATTGGATAATTTAGGACTGTTAGGGCTACCAAGAAAATGTGATTCACGTGTATGTCAGAGGTTTACTTAAACTGCTGCGTCCTGATGTCAAAGGAGAGTTGTATGATATGTTGATATTGACCTTTTCTGTTAAGCGTATCAAAAAATGACCTCTGTTGTGAGGTTTGGATACTGCCTTGTAATTTTAATCTCTTCTGTTTGAAACATCTGTAATTTAGCATAAAAGTACTATGACCAGAGACGAGAGAACTTGTGTTATTTGTCACTTTTATTACTTATCTTACTTTTATTGTGAGCTTGAAGGACGGGGGGGGAGTCCCATTTCTACCCTGCCTTTTGTTCATGGACATCTGTTTTGTATTTCCATTTCCCCTGGTTCTTTTCTCAACAGATCCTTCTTGCTCAGCGTGATCCAACACGGTCACAGATTGTCAAGACACGACGCTGTTTCCTGTGGAAGAACCAATACTTTCACATGGATATGTTCAGAGAACCCAGCAATGACAGGTAATGTCTGTCCTGTAATGACTGTGAAGAACCATGCTCATTTGTATGCTTTGCCAAGCATAGCAAGGAGCATACTCGTCGCTAATTAGCTTAACCACTTGATATGGTAATTATGTTGCTGCTAGCTGACACGGCACCGGATAATTTTCAGCCGAAAAGCCTACATTTTAAAATGGCAAGATACCGCAGCCACAGTTCATTACGAAGTTGGCATTGGAAAGTTGGACCCTTGCAAGTCATTGTAAAATGTGTGACATTTCTTACCATATTTTTGTAACTCTGCCGAACCCTGCCTTTGAGTGATAGGTACCACAGCGCAGGCCAGGCTCAATGCTAAGTACAGCTCGAGGTTACTTCCGCCGATATCAGCATGTTTGCTTGTGTGTACAATCCTGACATACCTAGTATGGACCTGTGAGCAAACGAGGTGTACGCAATGCAGAATTTGCTAACTTTGTGTGGACTAAGCCAGGTCCATGAGAGGTTACCCCCTTTCTAAGAACACTTTGACGGCATGTTGGGGTCACGGTTATATGTAGTGTTACATCCACTTTATTTGTGTTAGCCAGTTAGTACAGCAGAAAAGATGTAGAAAACATGTTCTTAATGATCAGCTATAATTGGCTATGAAAAAGAGATGGTTTCTGGGAATAGATAGTCTTAACGAGTGTTAGTGAGCACTTAGACAGAAAGTATACATAAACTTTCACCCATAACTGTATCCTTAACGGAGACAATGATCTCTGATTTCTCTCAGATGCAAAGGGCTGATCCTTCTGGAGACCTACACGACCATGACCGGGAACGACCTGCCTCTCCCAGATTTCCTGAAAATCAGCAAAGAGGTCACGGACAATCCTGACTACTCCATGTTCAACCTGTGCAAGATCTAAAACTTGTGAGACCGCGACTCGGATCTTTCTAGCGGTGTTTGTGCGAGAACCATTCATTGTCCTTTGATTTATTTGCAGTCTGTCAAAAAAATGTTACAAAGAGATACAAGAAAGACTATTTTCCAATCGGACGGTAATCACAATTCTTGGAAAATAAGATGTGAGATGACGGAGGAGGCAAAAGAATCGCTAGTTCACAGGTTTCAAAACTGCCATGTGTGACAGAGTTTTTCTCGGCAATTCTGCACATATACATGCAATATTGCAAAACAACTGTGCTGCAACATGTACAAGTACTTCCTACATTCTCTTAACCGTATGTGGTTCGTCGTGCAAATGAAGTTAATTGAAAGAAAAACTAAGAGAAAGACCTTGTTAAAGTGTAAACAGTCTGTAATAGGCAAATTGCAACAGATGCATAGAAAATCAAATTGTTTCCTCTGCTGGTTCAATCCAGTTGTAAAAAAAAAAATTGGCTTGTTTGAAACTGTTGGATGAACCAGGAACGTGTATGTGTTCAGTCAAGTTATGCATTATTTTCATCTTTTCTCTAAATGCATTCTCTTGTCTTTGTTCCCCGACACCCATCCATGATACATACATATATATGTATGGGTAATTCCAGAAATTAGGGGTCTGAAAGTGTGACATTTTCGTGTCCCTGTTACATCTGACCTTTGGCATTTGACATGGAAATATCACCGGAATTGATTTCAAACTATTACTATTTGTTTGGCAGGTAAATTGCATTAATTCATCACTCTTGGAAATTAGAAAACGTGTTTTGAACTTAACAAATTATATGTCAGATGTGACAGGGACACGAAAAAAAGTGGACCCCTAATTTCTGGAATGACCCATATGCGAGTCTCTGTCCACTTCTTGGTTGTACATGTGTGATGCTAATGGTCATGTATCGTATACCCAGCTCAGTATTACTACTCAAGCTGTTGAAGTTGAGAACTGACCTGCTGGGAAGCAGTTGAGGGGAAGATGGTTGTACCGCTGTCTTCATCTGCAGCTATTTATTGAAGGCAATTTTGCTGAACGGTATTGAAGCTGTAACATTTCAGTGAAATTGATTTGAAAACTGGGTAAGTTTTTGCAATATTTGTCTTTGCTTTTGTTGTGTTGTATGGGTGGGAGAAGACGCATGGTAAAGTGCGTCACTGGAAAGTTGCAAACAGGATCGGAAGTACGTGGTTACATCGTCCTGTCTTTGCTACACGTTCACCGCCCCTCTTGGCTCCTCCTTCAAAGAAGTAGATGTGTGGAGACCACCCAGTCTGATCCACAAGTTGTGTTAACAAAACTCAGTCCAAATTAATTGCTTGGGACTTCTGTGAGTTTGGTCATTTAATCCCTACTTGGTTTGGCAATGTTACCCATCAAAAATCATAAATGAATAAATCTCCAAAATTAAGTTTTGTATATCACAGTTGCAGTGCATTTTTTTAAAAATACTTCTTTCGGAGATGTATATAGAAGAATTTATGTATAAGTATTTACGTTTGCTTGTAAATTGATGTAAATATACTTTTTTCCACCCATACTTTCAGAGAAGAATTTTTGTTTTACATGGTTGAAAGGTGACAAAAGAATAACTTAATATTCATTCATTTGTTTTAATATTTGATTGTTTTTTCCCCCCTGACTCGACCTAGCAAATCTCATAAGGCAAAAGTTCACAGACTAACCCGAGAATGCCCCCAAGCAATTGGAACCTTATGCCAAACCAACTTTCTGTCAGTGTTCTAAACATGAAGTGGAGAAGCAAAAAAATTGCCAACAGAACTTGGCTGTGCAAAAAGAGAGACTATTACAGACATCATCTATATGTTCTAAAAGACATTTGCACTGACATAATACACAATTCATCAATGCCACCTTGAAATATATGTGACCCACCATCCCCAAACCAGGCTGGAGTCGGTATTTGTGACATTGGACAATTCCTCTCCTTCAGCTTTTTTTTTTCACATTAAAGTGATCCATGGTAAAATTGAAATTCTGTCTGCAGAAAGCTTCTTAGCTTCTTACGGGTTTAATAGCTGTAAAACTCCCATGAAAATCTGAGCAGAGGAAGTTCCACTGTTTTAGGGTTATGAAGTTATCTGCTTCAGCCTGGATTTGGGATGTTGCATCACATATAATGTTAAAGTTGAATGAAAATTACTGTATTTTGGCGATGACCACCGAAACATAGTCACTGGGGGCACAGGGGAAAAAAATCACTATGCCTTTATTTGGAAATACTTCAGACTGATTTATACTAGGGTTCCCTCTTATGCTGACTTGTATATTCACAGTCTTGGTGTGGTCTGACAGTTGCCAAAACCTCTAAGCTGTGCTGGAATTCTTGTGTATGAATCAAACTTAGAGTCGAAGTCACCCAGAATACAAGATATGTGAGGAAAAAATGCCAAGATTTGGCAAAATTTACATGTCTTTTTTTTTAATGTTTTTCCATATTAATCTACAAGAGAAGCCATTTACTAATTTGTCATAGGATTTTGACATGTATATTGTTTTGTGTGTTTGTTGTTTTGGTTTTTTTTTTGGGGGGGGGGCAGTTTATGCAAAGAAATTTTATTTTGAGTATGCAGTGCTTTGAAGAAACATGTTTTGGGATGGAACAATTATAGTGATTCCAGGTCAACTAATTTCAGATTTTAGTACAAACTTCAACGGATGTTTCAGGCAGTTATTAATGAAATGAAAATTGAATTACATTACAATTTGTCTGTTTATTCTTGAGATGGGTTTACTTTTTCATATTTATTCGCAACTTCACTTACTTTCACATATTTATTACATGTATTGAATTTCCATTCCAACAGAATTTGGTCAAAATGAAAACCTTAAGTTTTGATGCATGTTTACGAGAATATTTACATGTAAAACAAAATTGTAAAACACTCTTAAATTGTGAGTGTTGATCCTTGCACAATCCTTTTAAAGTGGTGAACTGAAATACAGAATTCTCACTTTCTCTGGGTTACGATTTCCAAACTACAATTTAAACTCTTTGTAGGGGTTAGTCTGATGCGTATGTATATATAATGGAACAATACCAGTTTTTATGTAATGGTCTGTTTATTGGAAGTTGCATCAAGCACATGAAGCACAAACACATTGTTTTTGCTTTGTTGGAAGAAGAGATTAAGAAAAATGTCAATTTGTTAAAGATATTCATTTTTATTGCCTTTCTAAAGTTCCTTCTATAAATGGAAATGAATTAAGAGGTTTATGATCAAGAAAGATAGTTTTGTTTTCAGAATTGTTTTGAGAATTTCTTTTTCAGTACTTCTTGCTATTGAAATGATACAGTTGGAAGATTCATTATGACGCAAAAGAAGAGTTGGGCTCATTAAAATTTCTAACATGATCCTACACATAATCTTGGTGTAAATTGGTATTTACACCATGACTTCCATGTTGATCTTTGAAGCCAGGATTGAAAATAGGGGAGAAAATATAAAATCAATGTCATCCTAAAACGTAGATAGAAATATTCAGTGCTTTAAGCTCATGACAGGAAAATTGGCCATATATTTCCAGTCATGAGCCTATAGGATATTTCCATTTTACTTAGAACCTAATCTGTGTCCAATTCCGTAGAGCCATGAGGCACTGAACAGCACATAAACTATTCAGCCAGTGCAAATAGATTACCTGCCAATGTTGCATGCACATTGTGATCGGATCTCAGCAGGTTTTGCTAAGCATAAAAAATTCCCAAGCAATGTATTATGCCTCACAGCTCCATGAAATTAAGTGCATGGTCCTAATGTTAATGTCCGATTTATCTGTTATGAGGGTATTTTGTTCTTGGCATGAAAGGATAGGAATAAACTACGAATGGAGTGATTTACATGATCAATCATTTTAACCTGTTGACATGTATTTGCTCGGTTGTAACCTTGTCAGTTTGTTTGGCATTTTCGTAGCCCACTCATTTATTACCCACTGACATAACACGTTTTTTAGAAACATAGGTTTAAGGGAGGGGCAAGCCTTGTGATTTTTTTGGAATAACTTCACATTTAATACTTTCTTCAAAGAAATGTATTTACAATGGGCAAACCTCGTCCTTTAGAAAACAAGGTTGTGATGGTTTAAATTGCTGTAGAGCAATCACAGACATGCTGCAAAATGTACGTTCAGTTGAGCAGAACACACTTGCCTTCCATATCTCTGTTTTTTTCTGTACAGTAATCATCATTCTTTCGGTTCCTTTACTCCTTTATTTGTATGACAGGTTTCTGCAATTTTCACGCTTCAGATGACCTTCCAACTTTTGGGCACAACTTGATACCTTAAAACATTACATACCTGCAAAATGTTATTTAAAAAAAATCTGGCCAAACTGTCAAATTTGTGTTCGTATTGAAAATGCATACCTATTGACTATTTTTAACTAAAATTAGACCAAAAACTGGCTTCTGGATATTTAATTTCATGGGGATTTCTTTTTCAAAATGGTCATGCGAAGTAAACCTTGTTTTCAAGAACTGGACTGAAATATTAACCAAAATTTAAACCAAAAATTATATTCCCAAGGGGTAACTTGCATGAGTGGTGCCAAGGTATGTCTTACAAATTTCTCGGCAAAATTCAGGAAGGCCGACAAATAAGTCTCAAATTTCGTAGGAAAAATTGCAAGAGGTTATTTTGGTACCTAAAAAAAAACTATTGAACAATGGCAAAATGAACATACAAATATGGGTCAAAAAATTTAACTCTGAAGGTGGTTTTTAGAAATGGTTTTACAAGGGATAAGTCTTAGAGTTTACTGGAGCAAATGTTTATCCTGGCAAAATAAGTTACTTTTTAAATGTGTGGAATTTTGACATTAAGATTTCAACTTTTTCAGAAAAGGGGATACTTGCAGGGGATTAATCTTTTGCTACTGTAGTAAGTGAAATTTTGACATGACAAAATTTGCCATTTTTCCACATGAAATGTTTTGGATCTGTGAGGGGTAAGCCTTGCACATCTCAAAAAATACATCTTTTCTTTGGAAAAGTTTAAGAAAATACACCAAATAAGTTAATAAACTAATTTCATTTCATATCAAATGTTGCTCAATTAGAAATTTGTTTACAAAAAAATCACTGCACAACACAAGTATGTAAATCACCTCACAAAGACATTTTTTTCTCTTTTTTTTTTTGGTAATTTTCAGTTTATTCCATATTAACAACCGCAGGTATGTTTTACAGCAAAGTTTTTCTTGTTTTGCTTTACAACATGATATGTAACTTAACTTTTTGTATTTCCTTTTTTTTTTTCAAAAAGAATATGGATATTAATCCTCAGTAACAAAAAAGGGCAACGCTACATTTTTAAATATCAGAGTTATGGAAATAAGACATGACACATCAATAGCCAATATTACCAGGGCTTATGAAGAAATGTACAAAATTACTCAGAAAAGGAATCATGTGTCCTTCCATGGTCTTACTCTGGGCTATGTCCTTGCTGAAAGCTCAGGTCCTCCTTAAAAGCTAACTTAAAATTGAATACCTCATTAAAAGAAAGGCCCAACTCCACCATTTTGGCCTCGGAGAGTACAACTCCTTCCAAAAATTTTGATTTTTTTTCTTTTGAACTCGAAAAGGTTTGGTTGGAGTTGTATTATGCCCTTCTTTCAATTAGGTATTCAACTGTAGTTCCACAAACCAACCCAAGATATGGGTGACAAATTTTTTCCAAGGCAGGCAATAGAGCTTAGTTCTCCAAATTAAAATAATAGACTGACTACGCCCACTAAATCACGTGACCTACAGTGGGTATTACCCCATAGCAATTTGTTTTGAGTGTTGTTTAAAAGCAATAAAGCCAATTTAGGGTATAGTACCCAGCACATCAGTACTCTCCGTACAGTACCTACCGTCGGCTTCATTTTTGGAAAATGACGCTTATGGAAATCTTTGCTATATTGGTGGAAGCCGTATTGTTGATATTTAATATCCACTTCAGGTCACGCGAGTTAGCGGGCGCAATGGGTCTTACCCCATCTGGGCCCACTTCCTAAAATTACCACCACTTGATAAAGCAGTGTTGTAGCAAAGTCCATTACGGGTCATCATCAGTAATCCAGACGCAAGCCCAATCACAAGCTATTCAAATGACAAAGGCATTCCTTTGGGTCAGTGTTCACCCTGTTAATGTACTTGAAACTGTCGGAGGACAGGATTCGGGAGAGGCCTTGTCATGTATCCAACTACAACATTGCTTACAGATTGGATCGATGATGAAATAAACCCAAGAGTGTATTTAGGAGGCATGTTCCAAGAAACCTACCTGCAGTAATATTAAAGATATTCCCTGCCATAAGGTACAACCAGATAGAGATAAAACAAAGGCTCACATAAATGATGTGTTTAATATGTACTATTAGCTTGCTCTCCTGTGGTATGGGGCAGTTGGATGCTAGGGAGACCACATATAAATCGCAGAACTCACTAGCTTTTTCTCATTATAAATAGCTGCAATGAACTGATTTTACTTGGAGCAACTGTGGGCCTATGTGGTGATCTCTGAAAACATTGTGAGCTGCTTGGAATAATGTGTTGCAACATTCTTCAGAAGTTAAATACTGCGTAGTTCCAAGGTGTCAAATATGGCCAGGAAATATTAAATCAAACATGGGCTACAAAAAAGCAGACTTGTTGGAATCAAAACATCCTGACGTTAATTGGTAACTCAGTTTCGTCTACACAATCAGTATAAATCTAGTTTAAAAACAAATTAACAATGTTGCATTGACAGAATACATTTCATGAGGAGAAAAGAAATACCAACACGCAGACGTACACGTGTGCACTGTAGCTCAACAGACACCAAATAAACTGAAGGCCAAAAAATAACACAGACGACCATCCGCAAAGTCCACAAAGTAGTGTGGTTTGATTTTTCATTGATTTGAGCATGGCATTCCAAACATCAAGCCCCAGGGCCGGTCATAAACAAAGATGTGCAAACTGGCACAATTCTTTAGGGAGCTGGGTGGCTTTCCTATCAGAAAGCTAGGGGGAGGGGACATTTTGTTTTTGTTTAGAGTGATTTTCAGAAGACAGACACTTCCAAATTCCTTAGATTGAAAAAACCCTGACAGCTTACATTAAGATAAGACTTTTCACCAATAACTGAAATAATTACATTCAAATTGACAAAAAGCACCTTGAATATTGGAAGGCTGCCACATTACTCATACATAGTATCAAGAAAAATCACAATTATCAAGCCGTAATTCACACAAAATAGGACAAACTAAGCAGAATATATCGTTACAGAGTGGTGGAAAACATGTCGTTGAAATTAAGTAAAGCAGTAAGATTAGAAAATAGTTTGGCACAATAAAGAAGTGAAGTTTGAACTCAAAGAACACTTCCTTGGCATTGTCAGGTGTTCTTCTTTTCACAGGCAGCGACCAAGATCTCAGAAGCTTGTGAACAGGTCACATCTACACATCTATATGTATATGTTACATGCCTCTTTGACATGAAAGAGTGTTGTGACTCTGCAAAAGGTGTGTGCCTCAGCTTGAAGAACATGAGCCACCACAACAGAAGTTGCAACTCTCATCAAAATGGGTTACACCAAATGACGAAAATCTAAATAGTTCTACACAAATGTCCTTACCATGAGCTGGTTATCAATTCTCAATGACTTTACGAACCATTGCCAGATCATACACACTAACACGCGAACAAGATAAGGCCACACTATTTTGTGGCAATGAAAGATGATGGAAAAAAAACGTGTTTCACTTCCAGGTCAGCCATTTTTCTGTCTTACTGGGTTGGTAAACAAGGAAAATGCTACCGGTAGAGGCTAGAGAAACTTTAAAACACAACACACAAAACTTATGCTTTCGTGGCTGTGAGACATGATTTATTTCTCCAACTCTGCCTATGCAATTATCACGAATTTGGTGTTGAAAAATAACATTCATAATTGGCCGAAACGTTTTATGATCGAGCCTGAAAATGCTGAAAAATCTGTAGCCCAAAACGTGTGAAACAAGTGTGGCTTTTAAAGTTGAACATCCATGTCAACATGCCTGATACAGAAAGAGACAAGTGACTAGGATGGTATTTGAACCTTTAGCCTACATAATACAGAGCCAATGTTCAACGGGCTAGTTATATGTGGGCTTCATGTTTATAGACGTCCTAGCTACTGTGTTCTGAAGGAGCCAGCCAGCCAGCCCCTCACAATAAAGCAGATGATTATTCACCACTGACTATATCATCTCTCCCGGAGTCAATTTCATGGGGTCTTTGGCATGAAAGGCTGCTTTACGCAGAAGAGTTCTGCTTAGCAAAAAAAAAAACCCACCAGTTATTGGCCAAATCGTCTGGCACAGTACGCAGCCGGTGGCTGGTTCTCTTCTACTATTTGCTCCACATCCACACCTTATAAGTGTTTTCCCCTTGCTCAGCACACTATGAAATTGGAACCAGATCACCATGTGCGGTAACTACGCTGCTCACCTGCCCAAAGTTCCTGGAACATTGCCTCAGCGACTAACCCATTCCTGATCAAGGCTTTGCTGTCATAAAACTTTGCTACAAAACATGCTTAACACTCGATCCAATATTCCCTACATATACACATAATGATACAAGCTCCCTACAAACTATAAATTACCAGAATATATATATATATCACAGTTTGAAGCGGTACCTCGGTACACTAGCCACCAGAGAAAACACAAACGACAGAACACAGGTAGATCTTTACTTCGTCAGCATCAGAATTGAAGCACTCCGTTGAGAGAAATGTTTCAAACGTGTCTGCTTGACACTTTAACCCGAGAAAACATTAATCACCATGAAATCCAGTGATTTTAGTATGAACAAATCAAATTTAACAACAACATAAAGAGACACCTTTATTTTATAAAGTTGGACAATCGCTTCTGGTGTATTGGATCCAACTAATGAGTTTGTCAACGCCTGGAAAATTCAAAGAAAAAAATAATTTCCCACTCTTCTTACTCAGCGCCAACTCCTCTCTTCAGTCACTCACTGAGGCAATTTCATCTTAGTGATTCCAGTGTCTAACAGGTGCACAATCATGTCCACTGCTCTCCGAAAACTACCATTTCCAGGGTCGATTTCAAAAATCCACAAACGTCAATACTGCCGTCAGCACAATGTTCATCTCCATTTACATGGGGGGGGTAACACTTTCCAAATTTACACAGGAGAAGCACAACAGAACTAGAGCTTGTTTTTGTTTTTTGTTTTTTGAGTCTGTTACTTTACATTTCGTTCATCACAGTCAAATTTCAGTGATTCCTACAAGTGGCGAAACACTGGCTGCATGACGTCCCGTTGTTTCAGGGCCGCTATCGCATGATCTCTCGCTTTCCGAGTTGCTTTGCAGAAAAACATCGCTCACATTTTTAGCTCTAGAAAAAGCAACAATTGTCGATGTGGTATTACTTTTGCTGTAAGCGATCCATTAAAAACAAGACAACATTTGAGAGGGAGATGTTGTATTCTGTATCCTAAGCACCCCTGGTGAAATATCAGCTGTCGTATCCTCAACCATCCTCGGTGTATCCATGGCAACAAGCATCTTCACAGAGTCCCCTCGTTGAGACGGGTACTTCTCCAGCATTTGAGAAGCTTTCAATACAGGAGGGGATCTCTGTTTGTCCAAAATGCTGGCGGTCGGGATTTCACGGCCGAGACGAGCGGGTGCAACTTTGGCGTTGTCGTTGAAGCTGAAGCAGGCTAGCTGGGCTGTATCGAAGAGACATGGTGGATGCTTACGATTGGCTTGAGCATGTTGAGGAACAACAATATCACACGGGATGCAGCTTGGCCTTGTGTCATACCTCAGTATATCTGTTGCTGGGGCCTTTGATGAATGGCTCATGCCACATGCGCTTCAGGTCACCCTGAGGGGGGGAGGAGAGGGGAGAGGAAGGGGAGAGGAAATCAGAATGAAAAGAGTTAGGAAACTGTGGCAAGGACAATTCTTACAACTAAAAGCTGATTTCACATCATCAAGTATCAATGTGCTGACATCATCATTATCATCTGGCCCATCTTCATTTCTAGCGCCATCTCTGCTCCCTGGGGAGTATGAGCCCCATGCTGGACCAGGAGAGGGTGCCCTTTTCCTAGCAACGCTGCATTTGGCTGGTTCACAGAGGACTATGAAATGCATGCGTTACAAGTGCATCGCTACCAACAATCTGAACATTCCCCACCAACAGGGCTCTGTTTACTGAGTGAGGGGTGCTTCCGCTCAAGGTGGATACAGCTTAAGACTATCACCGTCCTCTCAGGTATCCATTTCTACCCCCTGGGTGGAAAGCAGCAAGTAAGGGTAAAGTGACATGCCTAAGGACACCAAATGTAACTCTCTATTGGATTTGAATCCATGAAACGAAAAACCCTTACCAGAGGGCCAAAGGGTTCCCCCCCCATACATGTACATCATTACAAGATTCTAGTCCATGTAAGTTGATAAATGTACAATGAGGTGTGCTGTAACTAGCATCCTATTTACAAATGCATTGCTTTTTAGAGGAACAATAAACCAGTGTGATTATAGTTTCAATTAAGGGGGGGTCCATTCTTAGACCTTATTCCATAGCAATTCTTCGTCCTAAATGGGTTGATTGCCAGATTGTTTTGATTCCCTTGACAAAATCTCTCCCCCCCAAACACCGTTCCAGCTGCAGATATAAATTTGCCTCTTCTGGATTGCGAGAGGATGGTTTGAGTACCTTGAGATAGGCCATGAGGAGCAGAGGCAGGAGGGTGAAGGGCACCAGGTAGAGCAGGGCAGGCTGGGCTGCCTTGTAGACCTCAGAGGATACGGTCGCCGTCAGCAAACCTGCAAAACAAACAAACAAACAAACAAACAAACACAGTCAGGATGTGTTTTGATGGAGTGTAGGTATATTCTGTTTTAGTGAAGTCAATCACAAGTCAATTCACAAGAGGTGTTTTCTAATACAAGACCTGATCCCACAAAATGAGGCCTACAAACATTTTGCTCATTACGTTGCTTTTCATGTCCATTAGAAAGGTCATGCTCAGCTCTTCTTGTTGGCAAACAACTCCATTAACCCCAAAATGGACAATGTGTCCATGAAATCATAAATGGTTTACAAATGATTCATATGTGCACAAGGTTTGTTTGAAGGCGCTGCAACCCGACCAACTTCTGAGACATTTCTCCTGAGTCGGGTCAGGCCTGCTGGAAGATTATGATTTCACTCACCAACAAAATAACCGATGAGGGAGCAGTGGAAGTAGGTCACCCTCTGGGTAAACCCGCTGGGGGAGATGACGGGGGCCGACTGGTTGCCCTCCCCCACCTGCCGCTTGTAGTTGTCGTAGCGCATGACGAAGCACAGCAGGAGGCCTGGCATGACAATATCGCCAAGGCCCAGCATGGAAAAGTGGCCAGAACTCTGGGTGTTGCTGGAGAAGAAAGAGAGAGAGAGAGAAAGAGAGAGGGGAGCATGCTCAGATGAGTGAACAATTAAAGAATGGTGGGTGAATCAAGACAAGTTGGATGACCGTATGACAGTAACTGGCATTGTTTATCTCAGAATCGTGTATGATGCTATGTAAGGCTGGGCCAAATATCTGAATATTTGATCTATTATGAAATATTCGAATACTACATGTATTTTTCGAATTTGACTATTCGAATGCAAAATTCATGAAAAGAAGGGGAGAATTTTCTTTTGTTTTAAATGTGAAAAATTGCACTATGGAGGCTTGTATCAAGCAGATTCAAATGAAAAGTGTCAGAAACCTTACAACGATTTAAAAAGTACATTATTCATTAAAAAAAATTTAAAGAAATATACATTTTCAACAGGAAAAGAAGTATTATTTGTCTCTTAAATCTTGCTGAATTGTAGCTGGTGATACTCTTAGACGTGAGAAGCTATGACAGTGATCATAATGTACAATTGTGTGCTTTATTGCAACTGAATTTGTAGATGGTTTGTACCTCAACAATCTGCCGGCTGGAATGACCGAATATTCGATTGAATTGAAGGTCAAATATTCAAATAGTGAAATATTCGAATTGACTTAGCCCTAAAGCTACGTGCATGTTGGATGCTCTCACTACTAAAATCTGCATGATCCAACTTACGTCTACCTCTTTCCTAGGCAAAGACCACAAATGCTGGATTGGCACGGTATGCGACAACTGTACATAGCACAAGCAGTGACCATTTTACTATTTCATAAAGAAATCAATTATTTCACATGGAAATATCCCCACCATTTGGTTAATAATGTACAACATACAGTTGCTAACTACAATGCGGTGCCTCGACAGAAAGGGTGCCCCCTAAACTTGGGTCTACATGTGTTCCAGCAAGTTTGGACTACAGCCAAGTACCAGGGAAGTCAGCAAATACAGAGAGTATTCCAGCACACAATTTTGTACCATGAGCTTTCAATATGCTAAAGGAGGGGCCGACTCAAAGTCCAGTTTTCTGAAGTTACACAAACATGTGCATGAGTGAACAACCCACTCGCCAGTATTTCACATCTTAAACATTCAGAATGTGAAGGATCAATTTGTCTATGTACCTGTGCTAAAAAATCAGCGGTGTACCTTAAACGAGAGGGGGGAGGATGCCAGGCACATGCCCCCTCCAGCAGCAGTCTGTGCCCCTCCCCCCCCCAGTGCCCCAGTTTGAAATTCCGTAATATTCACAGCCAATGTACCAAGCCACAGTAAATTTGCTTTCAGCGCCCCCTTGGATAAAATGTGTTCACCCCTGGGTGGCTCCTAAGAATTTTCAAGCCAGTTCATGCTACTGTCTGACATGCATTTGAACTCGTACCCACAAATTCAGTTTTCCACAATGTTAGATCTAAGGATGCTGAAAGCACTTATCTCAGGCAAATTTGTGTAGAGCACTGAAGCATGGTGGCCCAAGACAGCCTTGTCAAACGCAGGACTGACACCTTGGAACACCATCGCACTCAAAAATTATTTCCAACTGACGCGGGCAAAAATAAAGTGTCTAGAATCACACCCTGCTAGTGTGGGCTTAATTATCGACAGGCCTCTAGGGAGGTTTCATCATTGGCCAGGCCATGGAAGAAAATCGTATCGCAATTATGAAGATTGGAGGGTTGCAACTACCCATATTAACCACCCAGCACCAATCAAGGAGTGGACACCTACATGTAAACCAAGTCTGGTTTCAGAAATGAGGGAATTATTTAGTCCTCTGTCCCTGCAGGACGTATTCAATCAGGATTACATTTCTCTTTCATTTCTGCTAATACAGTCTTGCTTTTAATTTCTTTAATCTTATCTCTCTTGGATGGGAGAAAAGTTACATTGTTAAACTGGAGTATTCAGGACTGTCAAGTCTTTTTGCGTGTTGTGTCAGGAATCAAACCCAAGACACTTCTTTACAATGTGACGCATTAGTACAAAGAAAACACATTTTTTTCCAAATAGATCTTAAAATCTCATCCAGCCAATGTGCTGATCTCATCACATTTTACATTACTGTGATCAAAATGGTAAAGGAGGGATTTGTTTAGAGGGAAAATGGATGTAACAATTTGCCGCAGGTGTGAAAACATGTAATATATGTTGAAATTATCAATACCAAATGCATGATGTAAATATCTTTTCCTTGCAGTTGCTGTATTGAATCAGGATATAGGAAACAAGTTTCCTCTCATTTCCTTTCCAAGGGTTGCTTCTGAAAGCCAGGCTGGAAATACAATAATCACTGAGGATGAGGTTGGAGAGATATACACGTAGACTGTATGAGCAAAGTTCACAACCGGGGCCAAGGCTGGCCAGTCACCTACTGGATACGCTGCACACGTAGGTCCTGACAAAATGCATTTCATTTCTCCTCAATATTTCAATAGCTGCCTGAAATATGCACTCATGTGTATACACTTCTGAATCTTGTTCATTGCCAGCAATAGAGGCTTTGCATGGTAGCTATCTTCTGGGGCAGTTCTTTTGTTCCACAGGGAAACCTCCTTTGTGCAGAAAAGCGCCAGCCTGCAAGATGGCAGCCATGCAAACCCTTTACAAATAGTTTAAACCATTGTCCAATATGTGAACGCCATTTAGTAGAAGCTGGCGAGTTCAACAACTGGTTACTGAGTAAATGCTTCGTTGCCTTGTCAAATTATTGATTAATGATGACTTTTATGGCTGGGTGTCTATGACTGGTCGACTCACCTGGGGAAAATGAGTTTGCCAGGCAAAGAGAGCTGAGGGGCTTCCTTGACGACGGCCGGCATGTTGAGCTTTCGGGCAACCACACCGATCTGAAACAAGAAAAACCAGCAGATGGTGAAAGTCAATGAGCAGAAAACATCTGGTTTCCCATAAAGACAGGTCCCCCAAATGAACAGTATTTCCACAGCAGTTGTAAAGCCTTTCTCGCAATGGCTAAGGTACCCATCTGCCGAAAAAGCCTCCATTATCATCAAGATATAATCTTGTGGGATTTTTCAGAGACAGAACGCAGCGATTGCCATGAATTTAACATTGCAAGGTGCCATTTTACAGAACTTCCATCAGGAAGATACGATGAACATGGCGGTAAGTTACTGGCCCTTTTACTGTGTTTTGTCACATAAGTGAAGGAATTGCATGGTTCTGCTGCCCCCTGGGAAACTTACTAGTGGACAAAGTCACAAGGTCACGGAAAAGATCTTTGAACAGAGAAGTGAAACCTTGAAGCAAGAAAGTGATGCCACTTACTCTCTGGCCACTGACAATGAATGCCACTAAAACTGAAACTATTGATACTTTAGGTCTGTGATGTCTGTTGTATGACAATACCCTTTTGATCCAACATGCGTAATAACAATCTGGCCCAAGGCCAACGGTGTATAACAGAAAGTGCAAAAGCTACAAGGGATACCGACAAAACAAGAAACTCGGGGTAAACAAAAGCTTACAGGGTTGTTGGCGGGCCTCATGGCCACTTTGACCATGACGTTGGCATTGAATATGTACGTGGAGAAGAACACCCAAAAGACGTCGTAGATGAGTAGACCGGTGAGCAGTAATGTGGAGACTTTGAGGCTGGGCAGGCGGACGAACGCTATCATTGTCACGCACAGTCCCATGGCTAGCGCTGCATAAACAATGAAAAATGGAAACAGATTATGTAAAATCCTCAAGTTTCAGTGTAAGTCTTCATGCACTCAAGGGGTGTGGGGTTAGTCACAGGCCCCGTGCGAATAACCTAGCGGCTTCATGCTTCTCTAGATGCATGTGTTTTTAAGCCACAGCCCAGTAATTTAGAAGCAGCCACATATCATATACTACATGATCTGTTTAACCCATAAGCCAATGTCTGTTTGAGAGTGTGCAAGGCCCTGCCTGACAGTTAGGGCTGCAGTTAGACATAGCCATTGGCTAGCGGCTTTAGCCACTTCCCACAGACAATGCATGTTGTTCCCAGCCACAGCCAACTGATTCTTGAAAACTGTATACCAGTGCAAGGGTCACAATACACGGAACCATGAGAAACCAATTCCGAGTTGGGGAAACTACGCTTTATTACTTTAAACTTCCTTTATCATTTGAAATCTGTTTCCTTTTCATGCACTGACTCATGAACGGAAAGCTTCCCTAAGGGATTATGTGCGCATTTCTTTGCCAAAGGTCCCACAATGCAGTGCAACATATACTCCCACTGCACACGTCCTGTCTGACCATACTCGTTATCAAGAGTAAGATGTCTAAAAATACCGGTACCACGACTTCCTTTCTCCTGCATACCCCCTTCCACCATCAACGTGTGATGCACCCAGACATATACGGCTACATGGCTGCTCTGTCTAAAGACCCTGCCTTAATGAAATAACAGCCCTTCCTTTGGCATGTCATCTCACAACCCAAGGATATAAACCCTACACATGTTGCACGCTATCACACCAATCTTCAACCCCTCTGAGTCACAGTCATGCACGCTGTAACACCACAGCTGAGGGGTTCATTAATGTTTGACAGTTACGTACACACGAAAAACAGTGCCAGATCAAAACAACTCTCCCTTTTCCCTGACTATTATGGCAGACTATCGATACACAAATTAGTTGGGCCAGTTCAAAGCAGGCGCTTATCAATCTGCTCCGCAAGTTATGAGCTGCTTTTGTCTGGCAAGTTGGTGAACCGCTCTGGCAGGGAAGCCACAATGAAAACACCGCTTCCATCCAATCCGAGACAGCCTCTGTGATCCAGTGACAGGCCTTTGTTGGGAAGTTGACACACTGTTTTCCATGACCTCTCTAGGGTGAAAGCTTATCCACTGACAGGCATACCCACAAGATACTTCGAAGATGACGGAATATGTGGTCAGAAATTTTTAAAACAGTGCAAAATGAACAACCATCATATTTTGGAAAGGAGTATCTTTATGGTTCTTTTTCTCTTCAACTGTGGCAAAACCTCATTTCAATCCCAATCCTGGTTAAAGCTGACTTTAATTATGTCTAAGCATGCTTGTTAAATTGGACATACAGTGTACATGTACTTCCTTTCAAACCAACAATGTTACATATGTAACATGTGTATATTCATCATAAACTCTATTCTCTTTGCTTGCTTGCCCTACATTTAATTCTAGAAATAACAACGCCCATTGTTCAACCAAACTTTAATACTGTCAATTTTCTGTTCTGATTGCATTGTACATAGTATTGATTTCTGACTGTCTAGCATCCCGTATATGCATGTACAAAGGGACTCAAAGCCTAGTGAGTACAAACAATCTGTATGGTATTGTATAGTTCAGGACAGAAACAATATGGCTACTGACACCCTTTTGAAATTTAACCCAAAATCTAATTTTAGTTTTTTTTTAGTTGTTTCAGATGGGTTAGGGGTTTTACTTCCAATATTTTTTGTGTTTTAATGGATAGCATAGATTCTTTGAACAATGTTCATCGCAAAACAAAACCACCCATTGTTGATAATGCTTTTCGAAGCCTCTGAACGCTGCCCACCTTGCTTGGCACAACTTCAACAAGCCACGCTTCATTCGCCGTCATCTGATCCATAGTACGTGTATCTGCAGCCAGTTGGCATGGTCAGGACCCACCATCATTGAACTGTTAATATGCAAGCCAGCCGTCATCACAGCACACGCTTCAAAATTTAATATTCATCTATTTGTTACTCCCTTTGATACGGGTACAAAAGAAACAGTGCACACAATAGGCAGCATATTTGTGCCATAAGGCACATACCGATATCAGTAAATCAGTCCTTGGATGACACATTTACAGGACAATTTAGGGCAACTTAGATCATGTCTGTCCCTCAAAGATGACGAAAGTGATACAGTGAGTGAGCCAGGACTGCTTCAGGTACAAGTATCTCCCCGCCAGGGAGTTTTTCAGCGTGGACCCCCGCATGTTCGTTATAGCGGCATTCCACTGTACAAACTTCAAAATTTTTCAATATTTAAAAATTTCTGGAAACTGAGGGGAAAAAAGGAGAGTGATTGGAATTTTCTTGAATTTCTTGGGGCTAAAACTGTGCAGGTAAAACAAATGCATGGTTTGATTAGAGATACCCACATGTCAATGCCCAAGTCTTTATGCATCAGCCTGCACATTGCTAAGGGCCCTAGAGTACAGAGTGGCGACAATCAGGTCCACTCGCTACCCAATGAAAAACAAAATACAACTCAAAACTGGCATACTGGTGCACGATTATCCAGTCCAGGCACGCATCTCCAATGTCATCAACTCCCCGGCTGTCCTCCTGTTACCAGGACAACGGATTGCTTCCCTTCTCTCTTCCAAAAAGACCTTGTAGGCAGTCGGGGCACTTTTGCTCTTCTGTCGCCCTCCAATCTTGTTCTTTATTGCTAGTCCTAATGTCACGTCTTCATCACACAGGGCAGAATACATGTACATTAAACTTACAGGAGATGTATGTTCCCATTTGGCCAGTGTCGCCTGCTGGCCCTATCCATACATGTATATTTGCACAGACATGCAAAATGAGGCCAGCGTTGAGGTGGAAGGCTCAGCCAAGAAAAACTGCAGTTTTCATTTCGTCCAGAGCAGAAAAAATGCTTTCTCGTACTTAATACTGCTGGTGTTAGTCATATTTCTTCTTTTTTGTTTAAATTTTTAGAAAGTTTAGATTAACATGTGCATTTTTATAAGTATTTTGTTAGTGCCAAATGAAATCAATACATGTGGCAACTTACACAGAGTGATTTCAAGAGCAAGTCCAGGTTATTACATGGGGGGGATTTTTGTCAACAACGTCATCTCATTTTGTTTCTGTATTAAAATCCTACATGTACCCCCCCCCCAAAAGGTAGTGCGCCATTCTTAGAACTCTGGTGCTTTCGATTCCTAGAAAAACAACAATTGGCAAACAGTTCCGCGATGGATGTGCCACTGGTCAAATGAGCATTCACAAGAGGCCTGCTAATAATGCCCGTTCTAGGTGTTCACCGAAACACCTCATGTGGGCAGAGTGGCAAGACATTATCAGTTGGGGGATTAATTACGGTACTACAACCCGCCACTTCACCCGTGCACATAACACATCAGGATCTTGCTAATCAAGGCCTGGCCATTCCAAAGTGTCAGCCAGAGAGATCGACGACTTCATGCTCTGAATGTTTCCGTCAGTTCTACGGACCCTGCATTTATGTATATATGTGTAGACACAAGTGCTCCTCATCTGACTAAGTACTGAACTGCCCGACGTCATTCCCCCCCTCCCCATCACACCGTCAACTCTCTGACGTCAATCTGCTGGATTCTCACACACCCTTTGACAACGCCTCCCAAATCATCTTCAGTTTGGATCTTCCCCTCTGGGGAAATCTCTTAAAGAAACTGATTCAATCTCCTGACAACATTTTTTCTTTTTCTCATTTTCCCAGGGAGGTTGTGCTACTTCAGTGAAAAACCGGATTATCTGTCAATTCAACCCAAATGTTGATAAACCTCACCTTCAGCAGCACTCAAGGATGCATGAGGAAAACATGTTCTTCAAACTCAACTACATGTAACATGTGCATTTTGGCAAGTTACAACACCCTACTGATTGCAGAGGTATTTAACGTGAGTGTGCGACCTGCACTTGGGCTGGGCACCATCCTCACCATCACAGTAATGGCTTGTAATTCTGAATCACCCCATTGGTATACAGAACCACGCATATTTTGAAGAGTGCAGCGGCTATTTTCAAACCAAACTGAGTTTTGATCTTTTGCTTTCCTCCTTTACAAAGGTCAGGACCGTGACTGTTAGAAGAAATCCATCAATACAAAAAGGGAAAACAGAAAATAAAGCTTCAAGAAAAGTATGGTTTTATAGAGCCAAAGGATCTCAACCGAGAAGAAACCAACATGTACATGTTTATATGCTAATAAGGACCTGTGAGAATCCATTTCAAGTCTCATCACAGAGTATCAGCTTGCCATGATTTATCTCATCCTCCAACCTGCAGGTCAGTCATTCCAGAAACATGTCCAAGAACGAGGAAGGCAGGGCATCTTTGTAAGGGTATGGAGCTCTAAAGCCAGCCAACATTATAGGTTAAACCTGGCCAGTGGACATATCACACTTGTAAGCCGGTCTGTCTTCCTACATCGACTGGGGACATCCTGACATTTCTGCAAGAATCCTCTGTGGATTGTTTTTCTCCCCTCTCATTGCAAGATGGCCCTACTCACCTGCTGATCGAATATATGGTGGGAATTTTTTGCTCTGGGGTTCACAGCGGGGGGGGGGAAGATAGCCCTGAGATTTAGATATGATGGCACCAGGCTTTGTCTTGCAAATGAAAGCAGTGAAACTTGAAGTGAGGGTGCGGATCCACGGTCAAATCATGCTTAGATTCGGAATCATGATGGAGAAGAATTAAAGGCTGCTCCTTGAAAACCAAGGAGTCCACTGAGACTAACAGAACGAGAAAGCTATAAAAAGAACCATCCTATTAAAAAGTTGACGGAACAGTGGTTAAAAGGATGATGCGCATCTCGAACACCACCCACACATCCACAGAATCTGGCTCAAACGGAGTGTCAGCAATCTTTCATGATGATCAGGATGATTTCAACAGATTCCGACACATCCTGAGAATCCCTTTAACATA